ACAGTCCATGTGTCCAGCTCTGCCCTCCTGCTCCTCCCAGGGCAGAGCTGGAGGAGCCCATCCCTCAGGAGCCACCCCAGCTCTGATTTCTGGCAGGAAGGGCCCTTCTCCTTCCCTGCTTTTCCTCCACCACAGAGGGTGTCATGGAGAGCAAGCACATTCCCTGCTTCCCTGTGCTGCTGCAGCTGACCATGCAGCTTTGGGGGAAAGAAAGGCAGCATTTACTGATGGTCCTTCATTCCAGAGCTGGGCAGTGGTGCTGTCCCAGGTGGATTCATCCTGGCTGCCCTGTCCCCAGCACCTGAGCACCCCCAGTAAAGCCCCCTGCAGTGTCCCTTTGCCCAGGGACACTTCTCCCAGCAGCCTGTGGGATGTGCTGGAATATTCAATCCCATCCCAGTGCAGGAGGCAGTGGCAGTTCAGCAAGAACAGGACACGGGCAGCAGGAAGGTGCTGCCCACTTGCAACATGTCCAGCTGGGGCAAAATAAAGAGGGTAAAGTGCTTGGAGCTGGTCCTGGCTTCCACAGGCTCTGTGGCTTTCCAAGCAGAGGGAAAGTTCTCCCAGGAAGGATTTGTGGCAGAGGGGAGCTGCTGGCTTGGGTGACTGTGCCCACCAGGAGCCAGCAGCTCTGTCCCGTGGGAGTGGGAGCAGTGCAGGAGGGATGGCTGGACAGAGCAGGGAGGGGGTGACAGTTTGGGATGAGCCCCCCATGGAGCACCCCAGGGATGAGCTGCCATGGACACTGAGATCCACAGAGCTGTTTCTTTCTCTCTCTGTCTCCCTTTGCCAATGCCCCTCCCAGGGAAGCACCAATGAGGTAAGTGGCTCTTGCTCTCTGCATGCTGCCCTGGGCTCCTGGGAAAAGCATCTTGGCCCCAAAAGCACCTTTGGGCTGCTGGAGGATGGGAATCACGAGGGCTCTGGGCAGCTGCTGCTGGCCTGGCTGGCTCTGGCTGTTCTCTGGATGCACATGCCTGGGGCAGGGTGTGGATGTGGGCACTGAGCTGCAGGAGAAAGTGGGAGAGAGATTTGGGTGGGGAGTGTCAGGACACGATGGGGATTTTCATCTTTGTCCCATCAGCTCTGTTTGGGGATTTTCCTGTTGTGCCAGGAGGTCAAACCCAACCCCAGATTGTTTTGGAGCACCAAGTGCAGGTGCAGGCAGGGACAGCTGAGAGCCCCAGGCCTGGCCAGGCCTTTCCCTGCTGCTGGAATTGCTGTGGGTTTGTTTTTTGGGAAAAACCACCCCATACTGGATTGAGCTGAGTGCAGAGCCCAGAGGGCACAGCTCATCCATCCCCAGCACCTCCCTGGGCAGCACAGGAATGCAATCCTGCTCTCCCAGTGTGGCAGGGGAGCTGCTCTCAGGGGAAGTGGTCCCTGCCCAGGCCTTCCAGGAACAGGAAAACCTGGATGAGAGAGGGAGATTCTGCCCCACTCAGGTGAGGAGGGTGATGAGGTCCTGGCACAGGGTGCCCAGATTTGCTGTGGCTGCCCCTGGATCCCTGGGAGTGTCCAAGGCCAGGCTGGACAGGGCTTGGAGCAGCCTGGGATAGGCAAACGTGTCCCTGCTCATTCCAGGGGGATTGGAACTAAATTTAGGTTTTTAGGGGTCCCTTCCAAGCCAGTCCATTCTGGGATTCTGATCAGAGCCCCAGCAGCTCTGTGTGTGCCCAGCTCCCTGTGCTCCTCCTGCCCAGCCCTGCAGGATCCCAGTGTGAGCTCCTGGGATGTTCCTTGGGCAGAGCCTCACCAGGATCTGATTAAACCAAAAAAAAGACAAATTTCCTGCACATGGGCATTATTTATTGCAGCTCTGGATCCCAGTGCCTCCCCAGCCTGGCCCAGGTATGGCACCAGACATTTCCATGTTTTTCTGTGTCACCAAAGCCCACCAGCTCCAGCTGGCAGTGCCACCTCCTGAGCCACTGAGTTCTGGGGGGAGTTCCTTTAGAAGAAATTCAAGCTGTTAAAAACCATCCCATCCCTCGTCCCTCCCAGCAGCCAGGGTGGTCCTGTGTTACCTCAGGATTTGCTGTGGATGAGGTGTTGAGCAAACCCTGTCAGGTAAAAACGAGCACTGTGGGACTGGTTTGGCATCACAAAACCCTAAAACAGCACAAAATGCTGCAGGGTGGCCTGGATAGGGCTTGAAGGTGAATTTTCAAGCAAGACAAGCAGAGAAGCTGTGTGAAATATCTTCTGCCTGTCCCCTGTGTTGCCAAACAATCCCAAAACACCTTCTGTTCCCAAAAGCCTGTTTGGGATGGGATCAGCATCCTCTTGGACACCTCTGGAGGCATCTCATCCTCCTTCTCCTCACTGCCCCTTCAGCCTCTCCTGCTCCATTCACCCCCTGAGGGAACTCATCACCCTGTCAGTGCTCAGGTGCCTCTTCCCACCCCTTCCAGAGCTGATCCAGCTTGCCAGCAGTCCCCAGCAGGAGCTGATGGGATTTGAGTTGGTTTTTCCCTCGCCCAGTGCCAAGTTCGTTTGAAATGGAAATGTCAGAGCTGTGACAATTGGTGACACCAAGTCCTCTGCAGCCAGAGCCGTGTCCTGGCACCTCCTGTGCCGTTTGCTGTGGGATGAAGGTGGGGAAAGGCAGGGAGGGACACGAGGGGTGTCACCCCTGGGGTCAGATGTCACCCGGCCCTGTGGGTGCTGTGCCATCGGTTCCCCGTGGGAAGTGCAGCCCTGCAGCTGCTCCTGCCTGGTCTGAGCCTGGCCTGGCTCCAGGACAAACAGAAAATGGTAAAATCAGGAGAAAATCCACATCACCTGCAGAAGAATGATGGGGACGGGGACCCGTCCCACCCCAGCCTGGGGCTGAGGCAGTTACGGAGCTGCCTGGGGGCGAAGGAAACGCTGAGGCTGCAGGAACCAAAACTGTCTGTGGAACACACGGGGAAAAACAGCCCCAAATGCCTCACTCGTGGTCCAGATGAATGATTGACACAGCTCAGGGGGGGTGAGCTGCTTGGAAAATTGGAATTGTAGAGTCACAGAATTCCCTGAGCTGGAAGGGACCCGCAGGGATCAGCCAGGGCAGCTCCTGGCCCTGCCCAGACCCCCAACAATCCCACCCTGGGCATCCCTGGCAGCTCCTGGAGCTCTGGCAGCCTCGGGGCTGTGCCCATTCCTGGGGAGCCTGGGCAGTGCCAGCCCCCTCTGGGGGAAGAACCTTTCCTGAGATCCAACATGAACCTGACACAGCTGCAGCCGTTCCTCAGGCCCTGAGCCCGGGAGCTGGAGCCCTCTGTGTGCTGGGCACTTGACCCAACAGCACACGGAAGGCTGGGATGGATCGGGATTCCCTGGGATTGGGATTCTGTGTGTTTGGGATTCCCTGGGATCAGGATTTCCTGGGATTAGGATTCCCCGGGTTTGGGATTCCCCAGGATCAGAATTACCTGGGTTTGGGATTCTCTGGGATTTGGATTCCCCGGGTTTGGGATTCCCTGGGATCAGAATTCCCTGGGATAGGGGTTTCCTGGGATCCGGGTTTGGGATTCCCTGAGTTTGGGATTCTCTGGGATCAGAATTTCCTGGGTTTGGGATTCCCTGGGTTCTGATTCCCTGGGTTCGGGATTCCCTGGAAATGGGATTTCCTGGGTTTGGGATTCCCTGGGATAGGGGTTCCCTGGGATCAGGATTCCCCAGGTTTGGGACTCCCTGGGATCGGCATTACCTAGGTTTGGGATTCCCTGGGGTCAGAATTCCCTAGGTTTGGGATTCTCTGGGGTCAGAATTCCCTAGGTTTGGGATTCTCTGGGGTCAGAATTCCCTAGGTTTGGGATTCTCTGGGTTTGGGATTCCCTGGGCTCAGAATTCCCTAGGTTTAGGATTCCCTGGGTTTGGGATTCCCTGGGCTCAGAATTCCCTGGGCTCAGAATTCCCTGGGATGGGGGTTCCCTGGGCTCAGAATTCCCCAGGTTTGGGATTCGCGGCTCCGGGAAGGGGCTGCTCAGTGCCCGTCTCTCCGCAGGCCTTGTACAAGCTGTACAGCGCGGCCGCCACGCACAGGCACCTGTACCAGCACGCCTTCCCCGCGCCGCGCGCCGAGCCCGCCCCGCCCTCCGACAGGAAGCAGCTCTAGAGCGGCCCCGGCCCCGGGCCCGGCCCCGGCCCCGGCCCCGGCCCCGGCCCCGGCCCCGGGCCCGGCTCCCCTCGGATCGCCGCCCGCAGCAGCCCGGCTCCGTCCCAGCCCGCCGGGAGCTCGGCAGCGGAACCGCCGGGGCGGGGCCGCCGTGGATGCGTCCCGTCCCTGTGTACATACGGCACCGCCGCAGCCCAGAGCTTTGGTTTGTCATAGCCGGCGACTCCCAGCTCATTTATGAAGCCTTATTTTTCCCCTTCTTAATTAGTCACCACTGAGGAAATGATAATTTACGTGATACCGCAACTAAAATGGCCGAAGCTTGTTCAAAAGCCAGTTTATTTCAGGTACTTGAAGAAGTTATAACATGTAACCACGTTTTTTTCCTTCGTTTAACTGTTTAATTACATGAACATAATTAAAGTGTGTTAACTTGCTTTATCAGACACTGTTAAGGGCACTTTGCTATGGTCTGTGAAGGGTGCTGTGAGGAACCGTTTGTTTGTCTGCACAAAGTGTCACTTTGTAGCTGTGCTGGAGGAAGTTTCTCTGTATTTCTGTACATATTTATCCATGATAGTGCATAGGATGTGTGGTACAGTTCTATTCTTTTATTGTCAGGACTATTAAAGTTTGCTTTTGGTTCCTAAGAACTTGGTTCTACAGAGAAAAGTCATTTATTACCTAGGCAAGAGCTTCTCCTCTGGGCTTTTTTACATGTTTGGTTCGATTTGGGGTTTCACAGTTGGTGTTTTGAGGGTCATTTATCCACTGAGAGACCCAGAGCTCGGTGTCACCAAGAGCTTTGATCATCTCGAGCCCATGGGGCTTTTACTGCTGGCAAGAATGGTTTATCTGATGTTCTAAAAGGCCACAAAGCAGTCACACAAACCCTTCGTTCATTGAACAAAATGATTTTTATTGAATTCATAGGATTTACAAGAAATGTACTTTTTTTGTCTGCAGTGTTTATTGCACTGAAAAGAACCCATAAATAACATATCAGGACAATTAATGAACCAAATGAAATTACTGGAGAGGGTAACTGGACAATTAAAGATTTTCCCCAAGTGAGGAGCTTTAAGACAAAAGCTCATTGAAAAAAAGAAACAGTAATTGCTGTTACATCCCTGATTTTCCCCCTGGGGTGGCACAGTGGGTCAGACAATGCTGCTGCCTTTCCACTGGAGCGGGTCAGGTTTTGGGAAATGCAGCATCAAAACCACTCTGCTTAGAGATCTTGGTCTTTAGGAAGGTACAAGCGTTCCCCCTCGGAGTAATCTGTGTGAAAATGAGGAGTGAATCTGGAGTACTAATGAGCTAAAGTAAAAAATAAGGCAACTCGGGCTTCACCTCCGCGAAGCGCTCGGATCCGAAGGGTGAAATCAGCTCCTGGTGTGACTGAACAGGCCCGGGGCTGGTTCTGTACATTAAAGCTGTAAACAAAGAGCAGAGCTCTCTCAGGAGAGGGATCCCAAATCCCCAGGGAAATACCCTCAACGAGGCATCTGGATTTGGACAACGTTTGGAAGCCAGGACGTGACAGTTGCATCTATTGCCCTTAAAAAATACACAGCCAGCTTTTAATACTGCAGCTGACTGCAGGAAAGGGATCCGGGATCAGGGACCGACGGAACCGCCGGTTTCTCAGGATAACAAACTACACCCGGCACGGCAAAAAAAAAAAAAGATTAACAAACAATTTCCACTTTTTTTTTTTTTATAAACAACACATAATACATGTAGAAAAATATTCAAGAGGATAATAACAAAGGTGCAACGTCAACAAAAATAAGCTGCCTTTTCAACAGAAGCACTTTTCCTTTCAGAGTTTGCGCGCCGCGGGCGGGCTCAGTAGTTGGCGCCGTGCTGCTGCGCGTACCACTGCTGCCGCTGCTGCCGCTGCTCCAGCTCCGTCAGCAGCGCCTGCCTGTACGCCTCGTAGAGCTTCACGATGCGCTCCAGCTCCTTCATGAACAGCAGCTTCAGCATGCCCTGGTACGTGTCCAGGTCGGCCAGCTGGAACAGCTCCCACTTGAGGATGTGGTCGTACCTGCGGGGGACACAGAGGGTTCTTCCGGGATGGTTTGAATGAGTGTTTTGTGGGATTGATGGTGAAAGATGGGGGTTGTGTTTGGGAATGGGATGGAGAAACAGAATCCCTCCAGGAATAGAGGAGTGAGCAGAATAAACCAGCACAGGAGAACACGGCTGGGAGAGCTCACCTGGAGAGGAGAAGGCTCCAGGGAGAGCTCAGAGCCCCTGGCAGGGCCTGAAGGGGCTCCAGGAGAGCTGGAGAGGGACTGGGGACAAGGCATGGAGGGACAGGACACAGGGAATGGCTCCCACTGCAGAGGGCAGGGATGGATGGGAGATTGGGAATTGGGAATTGCTGGCTGGGCTGGAATTGCCAGAGCAGCTGTGGCTGCCCCTGGAAGTGTCCAGGTTGGACAGGGCTTGGAACACCCTGAGATGTCCCTGCCATGGCAGGGGTGGGATGGGATGGTTTTAAAGTCCCTTCCACATGAAACCATTCTGGGATTCTATGGAAATGCATTTTGGAAGCACTGAACAGCAATTCCATTCACAACCCACCTGGAATATTTACTGTAAAACATCTGTTAAAATACCAGAGTAACACAGAAAAATGAATTCTTCCAGCAGCTCAGCTCCCTCCCAAAGATGGGGCACTGCTGTCCCCAGTGCAGCTGTAACGAGTGTTCTTGGCTGCTAAACCTCTCCAATTAACCCCTCCTGGTTAATTAGCAGCAATAATCTACAATGGGTATTTAATGCAAACCCTGCTGTGGTCCCACCCTCACTGCCATACCCTCCTTTCCTGCTTTTCCCTCACACAACCCACCCACAGTCTGATCCCTGGGCTTGGAAATGGGGAGCTGACTGCTGTGAGTATTCCTGAACAGGAGAAACTCGTGGAATAATGGAGTTATTTGATGCAGCTGAGGCACAGGAGAAGATGGATTCACCTGGGTGGAGGCTGAGGCTGGAATATCAGTGGATTTATGGAAATAAACTGCATTCCCCACTGAAAGTCACATTCCAGAATCACAGAAGCACCAGCACGTGCAGGTGACTTCCAAAGGTGCTCTGGGGAATTTGAAGAATCTCATTAAAACTTACCACAGCCTCTGTGTTAAAGTCATCCCTGATTCTGACAGGGCTGCACTGCTAAAATAATTCTTTTTCCCCCCAAAAAAAAGAGAAATAACAAACTGCAGCTGTTTGGAGTTTGGGCTGTGTATTGACAAGGAGGGTTGAAGTTTCCAGGCAGAGCCACCTTTGGGAGCACCTCTGGAGTGCAGAGCTCCCAGGGACAACCTTCCCTATTCCTCCCCACTCTGGATTGCAGAGCTCCCAGGGACACACCTTTCCCTATTCCTCCCTTCCCACTCTGGACAGCAGAGCTCCCAGGGACAACCTTCCCTCCTTCTCCCTTCCCACTCTGGACAGCAGAGCTCCCAGGGACAACCTTCCCTCCTTCTCCCTTCCCACTCATCAGGAGCCTTCCTGCCCTCACAGGAAGGAATTTTTTCTGTAAACAGAGATTATTTTGGTTAACACCTACTGGACTCCCTCTCAGGCTTTTTCTTATCTTCTAGAGGAATTTTTAAAAACAAAATCTAATATTTTTTCCATAATTATCTACTCCTCTCAACAAAAACTGGGCTTTACAGCTAAATCCATGTACAGAGCCAGGGGTAAGTAACAAATCATGACAAAACAAAACCAGTGATTTCAGTACAAAACTGAGCTGATAATTAAAAATTTAAAAATTTGTCTGCCTACTTGCTGTAAAGAAATCCCTCACGAATTGTTTAATTTGTCTCATGTTTGCTTCTCAAATTTCAAGAAAATACCCAAAATAATGCACACAACACAGGCTGAGCTATTTAAATTTACATTGTCTGGATGTGTCAAAGACCTAAATAAAGGAATGGACCTGCAGCCAAAACCTGGAAGAATTTTTAGGAAACAAATCCTACAGGCTACAGGAACTGAGTCTGGAGCCTCATTGTACTGGGGGTTTTAGGGCAATTTAAATCTTTATGGGCTGCTGGCAAACCCAGCAGTCACAAGAAGTAATAGAACTCATTCAAATTGTAGTTACTAGGAGCAGGTAATAAAAAAAAGGAATTTTTTTAGTGGAAGTCACTGAACACCACAGCTTAAATTTGCAGTTACAGACTGACTTTGCTGCTGGAAAACTGATTTTCTCCATATTCTCCTTATGAATAGCACATGATTTAATAATTATTACACCACATTTGGGATTTTTATTGCTTTCTATTCAGTGTTACTGTTCTGCAGAGCTGCACCCATTAGAAAATCTCATTTCTTTATGCTGACTCAAACCTTTTTTTGGAGGAGACTCCCTGTTCCTGCAGCAGTTTTTTTGACTTTTTATTACCCTTTAGTTCTCAATTCAATTTCTTAAATACAAATATAGAAATAGAGATGTCAGCCAGCATTTGGCCTAAAGGGGCTCCAAAGGAGCTGGAAAGGGACTTTGGACAAGGGATGGAGGGAAGGACAAGGGGAATGGCTTTAAGCTGGAAAAAGGTAAATTCAGGTTGGATATTAGGAAGAAATAGTTCCCTGGGAGGGAGGTGAGGCCCTGGCACAGGTGCCCAGAGCAGCTGTGGCTGCCCCTGGATCCCTGGCAGTGCCCAAGGCCAGGCTGGACAGGGCTTGGAGCAGCCTGGGATGGTGGAAGGTGTCCCTGCCATGGCAGGGGTGGAACTGGATGATTTTTAAGTTCCTTCCAACCCAAACAATTTCATGATTCTATGATTAAAAACTCTTAAAGGTGAAGGAAAAGCTGTGCTGTTTAAAAAGAAATAAAAGAGACATGAGCAAGTTCCACCCTAGAAATGTTTCACATATTTTCTGAGCACGTGGTACCACTCTTGTAAATACTCTGAAAGCAAAACACATCCTTCACCCTCTGACAGAGCTTTCTGCCAGTTGTGGGAGCTGCACAGAATGATCACTTCAAGTCATGCCTGAAAGAAAGCAAATTAATCTCATAAACATTTGGTACAACTCCCTCGTGCTGTCATCCTCAGCCCTAAAAACCAAACACAGCACAAGCTCTACTGTCAGTCACAGAAATTCAATTTTTTTTTTTCATTTTCAGAGTGAAAAGCATAAAAAAAGGCAGAATCTCACTTGACAGGAGCCCTGGCATAGACCTGCAGCCAGTCAGGGATCTCAGCACTGTGGTAGGGGTTGGCAGGGACCAGCAGGGCTTGGCTCCTCTCCGGGGGCTGCGGCTGGTAGGACACGGGGGGCGGCTGATCGTAGCGGGGAACGCTGCAAGGACAGGCAGGGACAGGGACAGGTCACACCAGCACACTGCACTCACTGCACACACTGCATTCACTGCACTCACTGCACTCACTGCACACACTGCACTCACTGCACACACTGCACAGACTGAGCAGCAGAAATTAACAATTTGGATTAACAATTAACAGTTGGATTTGGTGCATATTAACAACTAACAGTTGGATTTGGTGTGTATTTACAGTGACCTGTTAACATGGTGTATATTAACAATTAACATTGGATTTGGTGTGTACTTACAGTGAACTGTTAGATTTGGTGTAGATTAACAACTAAGATTGGATTTGGTGTGCATTAGTTTTATTTTGCTTTGTGATTTTGAGCAGCTGAAACACCCATTTTCACTGCAGACAAGACTTAATTCACGTTTCAGATGTCCAGAGCATCTCCAGCACATCAGACCAAGCTTCCTTTCAGTCTACAGCTCAGTTCTCTTCTCAGCACCTTTGCTGTTTTACTGGCAGCTGCAGAGCTCTGTCTGACTGAGCAGCAATATCCTGCTGCTAAACCTCAGAAACACGAGACAAAACCCGAACTTCCCTCACTGAGAAGCGGCAAAGCCGAAAATAAGATTTTTTTTTCTGTTGCATGACACAAACCCAGCTCCCACCTGGCTAAGACAACCCCGGGGGGCAGGAAGGTGGGAGGCTCACCTGGGAGCACAGGGGTGTTTGTACTGAGCCCTTTTGTTGATGTGATCCACGTAGTAAACGCCGAATTCCGCGGACTCCACGCGCTCCCAGCCCGGCGGGAGCCCCTCCCGCTCCAGGGGGTGGCTCCAGTGCGTGGTGTTGGTGTTGTGATCGATGTAATATTTCCTTCCTCTGATAGTCCAGTCCACTGACCAGCCAGGAGGAAGAGGTAAATCTTCAGAACTATGATTTGTTAAGTTTCCTAAAGATGTAGCAGCAACTCTCCCGATGCCTAAAACAAAGGGAGATGGGGGTTTAGGGAAAGATTTACAGAAATTATGATTTTTGTTAATAAATTATTATGGCTGATTCATTCATCCAGAACAACAACAACAAAAAAATTTAAAAAACCAAAACCAACCAAACAGAACAAAAAAAAGTTAAAGTTCATTTATCAACAAAAAAAACCCCAAAAAGCTGAAGTCAGAAATTAAAACTATCCAGACAAATCACTGAGTCCTAACAAAGCAGTCAAGACCAGCAACAGGACAAGGTAAACAAGAGAGGAGGGACAAGCAGGGCTGGGGTCCAAGAGCTGCCAGGAATCAGCAGCTGATTCAATTCCCACCTTTTCCCTGGAAACAGAGCACATCTGGGACTGATCCATCACTAGACTGAAGAGCCTGCTCAGCAGCTCTCTGCAATATGTGATTTGTTTAACACACAGAGTTTTTTCAGACCAGCAGCTGGAGGGTGAGAGATGCCTACAGAAACAGCTCCTGTCCCACCCCTCCCCAGGGATACTTGGGAAGAAACAAAAGCCAGATGAGCAAGTACAGAAAACTCATAAAAAACCACCCCCAAGACACCCAACCACAAAACCCCGGGGACATAATCAAGAATTTTGCAGGCTTCTTTCCATCCTTGGGAATTTGTTACCTTCTGGATTTGCTGGGCTAAATTCAACTCTCTTTTAAAACTCGTTTTAAGGAGTTCCCTTTAGTCCCTCACAGTTAAACACTGCTTAGTTTTAATGAAAATTCCAATTATCTTTTCATCCCACAGCCAAATGCATCTATTCAATCCCACTACCAGCAGAGTTTGTGTGTTGCTATTTCCCCCAGCCAGCAGAAGGGATTTGGGAGCCACTTTTCCCACTTTTTTACAAGTCAGAAATCACCCCCCCACACACATTTACTGATAGGAATACACCCCCTGCTCCTTTTCTTCAGGAATAACATTTTTGTGTGGTTATTTTCTGAGAGAAGGGAAAGGCAGAGTCTCTCTCTTCTAAAATGCCAGCCTGAAACCTGGGTGAGCTATATCCTAACAGAATATTATAATGATTGAAAATTAAGTTACAGGAAGGCTCCAAAACAACTGGATAAATAAAAAATAAATTAAACCCCCCTCACAAACATCCTCCTTTAAAACTCTGTGCTCATCCATAAATCTTTTTCCAGCCTTGTCATGCTCTGAACTGTTTGGCCTTAAAGGATTTCCTCTTGTGTCAGTTCTTACCTGTTTGTCAGCACTACAAAGGGAAGCTGATGGCTGTGTCCATCTTTAACTGGGATTGAACAACTCAGACCTTAATTCCAGAGAAAAGAAACATCTGGAGCCTTCCTGACCTTTGGAAGGGCTGGGGCAGGGAAGCTGGTTCAGCTCCACATGCCACTGCCAAAACAGAAACATTTCAGCTTCTTGAAAATGCTGTGCTTGGGCTGAACAAATCCAGGATTTTCCCCCATTAGCTGAAGCTCTGGGATGTGATTTCATGGATGGGGAAATAGTGATTGTTAAATCATCGCTGCCAGGAGAGCTGGACACACAAATTTTGGGGGAAAAATCCGTGTTTTTTTGTTTACTGTTAAAACCTGCACATCCCTGCATTTTTCTTACAGTTCCTCTGGCCTCAAATCCACAGATATTTATTTTTACTAAAGGTAAACTTTAGTGCCACCCTCTGCACTAAAGTTCTCCTGACACATGGATTCTCCCAATGCCGGCTTATTTTTAATTTCCAAGATTCAAAGAACAAAAATAACACCAGATCACAAATATTTTATCCATTCCTTTTGCCATTTTCATTTCATAGATAAAGAAGCAGAGCCAAACCATTAAAATAAACTTGCACAGATGCAGAAATTACCAGTTTTGGACAATATTCCATGGACATGACATCAAAGGCCAGACTTATAAACTGATGATTGTAACTATAATTTTTTTCCCTTATATCACAGATTATATTGGAATATTCTCTGTGCTGGAAGTTTTAAGATGTTGATATTCACAGGGCCTTAAAGCCATCAACCACTGTGGCATGAAAATCAACAATTAGTACAATTTAGATTTTTTTTTCCTGTAAAATTATTTTTTAGAGATGAAAAGAAATTGTCTGTTGGTTTTCCTGATAAACCTCAGATGTTCCTTTGTGGGAGGATGGATACACACATAAGAGGAAAAGCTCCTTCTATAGTTTTGAACAGTAAAAGAAGAGGAAAATTAACTTTTATATATATTTATAGATATATTTACACACACCTGTAATTTCAACTAAACAACACTTGGCAGAGTGAATTCCTCTGTGATCTTTTCCAAAGTATAACCCAAAGAAGATAATTCCAAGACAGCCTAAATCCCTGGGCTGCCTTTTCCATGGCAAATTGCCAGGAATGCCATTTTCTGCATTTAAATGCTGAGCCCCAAAGCATTTTCACAGCAGCCCAAAGCTCCACACAGGATTTTCCTGCAAGCACAGGGATGTTCCCTGGATTGGGGGCTGGCACCAGATTTATGGATCCCAAAGAGAAAAGCTGAACATTTTTTATACAAACATTTGGTGTAAAACTCGGGATTTTCCTGGCATGGAGGATGTGATCCCTACCACGAGATAACCTGAGCATGTTCACTGTACCTCTCAGGGTTTTCTTGCTCTCACACTCTTCTAGCTTTAACAAACAAAAATTCTCATTCTTCCTGCTTTCCCAAGAAAAAGAGTGGTTTAAATTATCCCCTTTTTCCAGATGTCTCCTTTCCCCTGCTTAGGGATGAGCACTCTCTGGAGTGGCACTATCAAATCTCTAGGATGGTCAACAATTAATTTAAATTTATGCATTATCACAACCTTTTCAAAAGGTCTCTTTCAAGCTTGTCAAGCCTCATCTGCTAATTCTGTTTGTAATATTATATTAGATAACAGGGTGTTTTTTGGTTCAGCTGTTGCTTTTAAGGAATATCAACATTGAAATTGAGGCTTTAATTTTCCTTCCATTTCTAAAATCCAGTATCTTCAATTTAAGGTCTTGAATTATCAATTCTAACTTTGAGCAGCACATGCCAGTGCACTTTATCAATGCAAAAAGTTCCTTCTCTTAAAAATCCAAAGAAAGCCACAAGTGTGAACAATCTGTAATGTGTTCTTCACTCAGGGAAGTTGTGTTTAGGAAGGAACAAAGGAACTGGAAATTATGTCAGTGCTTTCCCAGTAAAAGGGTTTTTTAATGAGGGAACCTTGCCTGGAAAGAAATCCAAGCCTTCTGGAGCAAAGATTCCCAGGCCAGCAAAGGGCAGGTAGGAAAGGCAGCAGAGAAATCCCATCACCAGCATAAAGGGCAAAGAGCAAAACCAGAGGAGAAAGTTCCACTTGGGTACAAAATGCAGAGAAATTTCAGAGCCCAGGAACTCCCCACAAGTGACTTCACCCAAATTTCCAAAGTGTTGCAGAACAAATCTTACAAAACAATATTTGTCTTTAATTAGCCCAATTGTCCTGAGAGCCTTTTTTCAGGATGCCAAAATCCTCTCCCTTCCCCTCATCGGAGCTGGGTGAAGAGCAGGAAGAGAAGATGAACAAACTGTTTAATTTTAAAAGAGTAAGTAATAATACAATAACAAAAAGTTCCAATAACTCTCCTGTCTAGCCAGGTCTGCAGGTCCCAGGCCTTCCTAACCCACTCCAAAGCATCTGAAGGAACTTCCTGAGCACAAGCACCTCTTTTGTTGGAGGGAATGGGGCGTTCCAAGCAAGCACAAATTCACTAATAGGAAATGACAGGAAGAACTCTGAAAGCATCAAGAATTATGCTGCAAAATTCCTGCAAAATCAGCACAACAGAAGAAAAAGGCAGGAACTGCCATTTGTTTAAAAATGAGAGACGTGTACACACAGAAAAATAAAAATATGGGTATTTCAGCTCTAAATGGGTTTCATGTCATAATTTGCATTTATTTTGCTCTTACATTAAACAACTTTGCAGTTTTTCAGGGGTACAACTTAACAGATGAACCAAAAGCATACTGGATTCTCTGTTAAATTGTTTTTTCTCTGTGACATCCCAGTGAACTCATCACAATCCACCACCAGCAAGTGCCTTTACAGTGTTGATTTCAAGCTCAGCAATTTTCATAGACACAGAAGAATGGTTCAGCTTACCGCTCACACAGGCACAAATAACTCTGAGGTCTTGGTTACAAGTTAGTTCCAATCTACACTGTAGGTATAACTTCAACCACAGACCTCCCCAAAACTTTAACCTAGAAGAGAGGAAAGAGATGGCGAGGAAAGACAGGTAAAGTCTCTTAGAATTAAAAGTTTGAAAAGGACACTCATAATAATTAAAAAAAAAAAAAAATAAAAGAAATTAAAAATTTAAGAAATGCCACAGAGGTAGCTAAATGTACAAAATTAGGAGGTATCTCAACTGAAAATACTGGTCAGGAAAATCAGCAGCACTGAATTGGTAATTAGAAACAAAGTGAATGAAAACATGGAAAGGAGGAGATGGTAGAAGGGAAGCACAGCGAGAGAGAAAAGGTGGCTTGAAGGAGAAATGCCCATGGAAGGACACGGCAATGCTGAAACACCAACTGCTGCAAAACCACAGGGCTGCCCTCCAACCTTGGCTGAACACTGAAGTCTTGAGAAGAACATGTTTGCAACTTCTCTCCGAATCACAGAGAGGAGAGACTCAGTTGTGAACGAGAGCTGAAATTCACAGGCACCTCTTCACTTCCAGACTGCTCCCAAAAATCACCTCAGTGTGAGCACCATGGAATATCAGCAAAGCAGGAACACCTCGTGTTCACCAGGCAACATTTCCTTGGGAATCCACCCAAAACACACCAGAACTGACCAAGGGCACCTTTGGAGGGAGGGTGGGACAGGAGGGAAAGGGGAGAAGGCAGAATTTACAAACTCCAGCTAAAAACCAGACTTTTCATTTGGAACTGCAGGCATCAGGCAATTCTGGCATCTCAATGAAGAGAAACAACAATGGAGACGAGTAAAGAAAAGTAATTTAGACAAAGACAGTGAAAGCAACAGGCTCTGGAAATGCAAGAAAAAGAAACGAGGAATTACAGAGACATTTGGGTAACTCAAGGAAAACACTGAAGGTGTGAAGCACGGGATGGTTCAAATAAAAAGAAGCTTAATGGTGAGATGAAGGAAGCAACAAAACCTAAAATTTTCTTATTTTGGGCCACATAATTCTTTAAGAAAAAGGAAAAGAGGACTTTAGGAGTTCATATGGAGATGAAAAAAATGGAGGAAAGGGAAAACACTGGCAACTAAAAGGCTCACCTTCGTCTCTCCCTACGAGTGCATGAGATTAAATACTCACCCATCACAAAACCTGTGTAAAACTTGTTCAAAATATGAAATGTTAAAGAATGAATGACCAAACCAAGCAAACAGGAGCAGCTCCTTTATGATTTCCAGGGCTAAGGTCAACAAACAGCAAGAAAAAAATCTATTTAGGAAGAAAATGTTGCTACAATTGAGCAAAATACGGAGCTCCTTTTAAAAATTTGCCAGACGAATCTCCACTTCCAAGCTAGAGCTCCATTTCTGGGAATCTCCTCACAGCTGCTGTTTAATTCTCAAGGTTAAACTGCTGGAGTGGTTTGTGAAATCCTCCCCTCCTGCCTCTCCTCCCTAAAACATCCCAGCACACACTCCCAGTGCTTGTTACCTGGACCAGGTAAGTGTTTAATGACTGCTGGATGAGCAACAACGGGCAGAGGTGCAGGGTTTGCACACAAAATCCAGGCAGATCAGATATATATATATCAGATATATACGTTTAGAAAAATAAAGGAGGATTCAAGTAGCAGGCCTTAAACCCCAGCATTTCAGAATTTCCTGGCTGGCATTTCCATTTTTCATGGAAGTGTTTCTGTGGTGAAGAAAACACAAGGCACTGACAGGTTCTAATCCCACACATGAGGTCAGCAGCATTAAGAGCTGATGTTCTCCCTGGCAGATTTCTTTTTCTAGACAGATTTATTTTATTAGACACTAATTACAATTTTGTTTACAGATTACAGGTGACAATGTATTTAATATTGAAGGTACATTATTTACAGGTTTCAATTGTTTGTTTCAAACTCCTCCTTGGGCATAGTTTTTGTAATATCAAATACAGAGTCAAACATTTCAGGAAAGTAATATTTAATGGATTCTTCTTTCTTATGCTGTTTTGTTTTAGGAAACAAAGGCAAGTTCCAGTGAAATTAAGGGGGGAACAGGCATACCTACAAACCATTTTAAAAGCAAAAAGAAAGGAGTCAAGGATTAGAAAGTAAATTTCCACACAAATTAGATGCCAATTTGCTAATTACACAAAGCAGTCATTCCTCCCTATGACTATTTATAAGAAATTATTTTAATTATTGAGGTAAAAGGCTCACCTTCGTCTCTCCCTACGAGTGCATGAGATTAAATACTCACCCATCACAAAACCTGTGTAAAACTTGTTCAAAATATGAAATGTTAAAGAATGAATGACCAAACCAAGCAAACAGGAGCAGCTCCTTTATGATTTCCAGGGCTAAGGTCAACAAACAGCAAGAAAAAAATCTATTTAGGAAGAAAATGTTGCTACAATTGAGCAAAATATGGAGCTCCTTTTAAAAATTTGCCACACGAATCTCCACTTCCAAGCTAGAGCTCCATTTCTGGGAATCTCCTCACAGCTGCTGTTTAATTCTCAAGGTTAAACTGCTGGAGTGGTTTGTGAAATCCTCCCCTCCTGCCTCTCCTCCCTAAAACATCCCAGCACACACTCCCAGTGCTTGTTACCTGGACCAGGTAAGTGTTTAATGACTGCTGTTTAATGATGAGCAACAACGGGCAGAGATGCAGGGTTTGCACACAAAATCCAGGCAGATCAGATATATATATATCAGATATATACTTTTAGAAAAATAAAGGAGGATTCAAGTAGCAGGCCTTAAACCCCAGCATTTCAGAATTTCCTGGCTGGCATTTCCATTTTTCATGGAAGTGTTTCTGTGGTGAAGAAAACACAAGGCACTGACAGGTTCTAATCCCACACATGAGGTCAGCAGCATTAAGAGCTGATGTTCTCCCTGGCAGATTTCTTTTTCTAGACAGATTTATTTTATTAACACTAATTACAATTTTGTTTACAGATTACAGGTGACAATGTATTTAATATTGAAGGTACATTATTTACAGGTTTCAATTGTTTGTTTCAAACTCCTCCTTGGGCATAGTTTTTGTAATATCAAATACAGAGTCAAACATTTCAGGAAAGTAATATTTAATGGATTCTTCTTTCTTATGCTGTTTTGTTTTAGGAAACAAAGGCAAGTTCCAGTGAAATTAAGGGGGGAACAGGCATACCTACAAACCATTTTAAAAGCAAAAAGAAAGGAGTCAAGGATTAGAAAGTAAATTTCCACACAAATTAGATGCCAATTTGCTAATTACACAAAGCAGTCATTCCTCCCTATGACTATTTATAAGAAATTATTTTAATTATTGAGGTTAAATTCAAACAATGATATTAAGTAATAAGACAATAATTAAAATTTAATGATAATAACAATAATAATAATAATGCTGCAATGTTGTAATTTAGACCTGTTGGTTATTCTTTATATCATGAAAATAGATGTTCTCCAATGAATAAAATTCCTTGCTAGCCAGCAACTGATGTGTAGAGGAGATGTACGTATGCTTAGCATTAAAAACCACAAAACTTGCTTGGCCTTACTCCATTTATTTAAGAAAATAATTCTGGTTTAAGACCATTTTTCCTTTCTGGATATGTGTGAACAAACCCTCAATTCCAATCACCCAAATCCCAGAAATGCCATGAAAAAGCAGCTCTGTCCTACACACCTCAAACACAATCCTGATCACCCAGACTCCCCAAACTGCACCCAAAACCGCATTTTAAACAAAACCAACAAGGAATCCTTACCTGAAGTGTGCCTCCCATGATTCTGGGACATCCTCTGGAAAAGATCACTGTTGTGTTCATAATACCTGTAGTCCTCGTGCAGGCGCTCGTTCAGCTGACGTCTCCTCTGGGCATCGTAGAAATGATCGTAGTAATAGCCGCGGGCTCCGGCGTCGCCGTTCTCCAGCCCGGGGCCGGCCTCCGCCAGGAAGGACTGCGAGGAGGAGCCGTATTCCCTGGGCACCTCGGCCAAGCTCCTGGCCAGGTAGGAGGGTGCAGACAGTCTGTTGCTTTCTCGCCTCATTATCTCGTGAGGCGGCCTCTGCACCGCGGTTCGGAGGAAGCTCTGGTTCCTGGAGACGATGCCATCGCCGCCGGGGGCGTAGGCAGAGGATGCGGGGTCGGGAGGGCAGATGTCGGTGCGTCTCGGAATGGTCGGACCGTGGCGGATAAAGGAAGGCATCAGATCTGCCACAGAGAACGGAGGAGAAGTGAGAACACTGCCGGTGCAGATTGACACACTGGAATTGAGGAAATTCACGTGCAGAAGCCGCTTAAGGCACCTCTAACGCCTGTGTAAATGTGGTGGTAAAACTGCAGCGTCCTGGTGCAGCAGGAACCAGCACACCCCACACCAGGAACCCACGGAGCAGTTCTGCCAGTGAAACTGCAGCTGCAATAAACAAACCAACCCCAAAGCCTTCAAAAAAACCACACAAGGGAAAAAAACCCCAAACCACCCACACTGTGCTGTGGCTACATCAGCCAGGGTTCGTGTTTCTCTGTGAGAAGGGTCAAGAAAATTCACATATCCTGGCTGCTGCTTCTTTGGGAATGCTGTCCTTACAAACTGGGGATGACAAGATGTTAATGCCCACAGGAATCCAAGACAGAAACAGAATTCACACTGACCCCACTAATGCCAAAGTCACAAAGTTCAGCCAGAAAAAACGACGTCATTCCACACACGTTAAGTTCTCAAATTATCAGGGGGATATTTCACTTTCTCCTTTAGAATTTCACTGCCTCCCTCCAGTATGTGAAACATTCCTCCTCTCCCTACTTTTACTTTCAACATGATAAAAATAAGTAGTTTCCCTCCAGGTAAGTCAATACAGCAGATAACTTTCACTTAGAATAAGGTAATTCCTATTATTAATAAACTTTTATTAACAAACTCTTACAACTTACCGTTAAAATCTGGTGCGCCCCAGAAGGTGCCAGCAATAAATTGATTTACTTATTTATTGGGCAAACAAACCCACTTCAGTCTCGGGTTGTCTTCTAAGACCAACAAACCCAAACCCAAGCACGCTTTCGGTGTGTGTTTGCGGTGCTGTGCCCAGCCCTGGCTGCAGAATCAGCGCCACGGGAAGATCCCAGGTGACCTCCCCGGGCTGAGTCACGGACAGCACCTGGAGCATTCCCTATTCACATCTGCTCCCGCAGGGATTTTATGCAACTGCCTGGCGGGACAGTTATCTCATTCCACAGTGCTCAGAAGGGGAAAACAAGCGCTCCGTTCTCGGGGATTCACGGTTCTGGAAGGGGCCCGGAGCTGCCTCAGGGACACCTTCCCTACGCCAGGCTGCTCCAAGCTCTTAGCTTCATTAAAAAGCAACCTCTGTACACTGCCTGAACCCCGGCCGGCTGAAACTGAGGAACCGCGCACCGAGAAAATCATAAAAACCACAAAAACCACCAAGTCCGGGCACGCTGAGCACCCGGTGGAACAAGGCGTGCAGGGCTCCCTTTGAAACTCGGGCTTCCTTTCAGCTTTAACTTCCCTCCGTCATCTCCCAGGGCTCCTAACAGCATTAAACACACATTTTCAGGGAGAAATAACCCTCACACACCGCCACAGGGATAACTCCCCCTCACGCCCCTCACCCCGCCAAGGCCGCGCAGCTCCAGGGCCCGCCGGACCGGCCGCACACAAAGGCCTCGGCATCGGCCCCCGGAGCCGGCGTTCCCCGGTCCCCCCGACACTCACTCCGCAGCAGCGGGCTCGTCTCCTTCTTCACGTACTTCCCCTGCACCTCGCCCGGCTTGGAGAGCTCCGTCCGCGTCTTCTTCCGCGACAGCATCCCACCTCGCGGCCCGCTGCCACCGCCCGCATGCCCGGCGCCGCTCCCCGCTCCGCAGGGCGGGGGGGGTCCGGCCGCCCCCCGGGGGGCCGGGCCGGGACCAGGAGCGGGGTTGGGATCGGGATCGGATCGGGATCGGGCCGGGCCGGGGGTCGCTGAGGGGACGCGGCGGGCGCGCGGGGCGTTGTGGGAAGGCGGCGGCCGCCGCCCTCCGGGCCGGCCGCGGGGCAGCGCAGGGGAGGGGGCGCGGCCACAGCGCCCCCGCGCGGCGGGGAGGGCGCGGCCCCTCACGGAGCGGCGGGAGCCCGCCAGAACGGGAATCCCAGAGCAACGGAAACCCCGGAATGGGAGAAATCTCGGAATGGCGGACTGACAGACCCCCACAGCGACAGAATCGTTGAATCGTTGAGGCTGGAAAAGGCCTCCGAGATCAGCGAGTCCAAGCTGTGCCCGATGCCCGCCTCGCCACAAGCCCAAAGCGCCGAGTGCCACCTCCAGGCCTTCCTTGGGCACCTCCAGGGATGGGCACTCCAAACCTCCCTGGGAAGCGCCTTCTGCTACCTGACAACCCTTTCCGTGGAGAAATTTTCTCTGATATCCCATATAAACCTCTCCTACCACAGCTTGAGGCCGTTCCTTCTCCTGTTCCCTGGAGCAGAGCCCGACCCCCCGGCTGTCCCCTCCTGGCAGGAGCTGTGCAGAGCCACAAGGTCCCCCCTGAGCCTCCTGTGCTCCAGGCTCAGCCCCTTCCCAGCTCCCTCAGCCTCTCCTGGGGCTCCAGACCCTTCCCCAGCTCTGTTCCCTTCCCTGGACACGCTCCAGCCCCTCAGTGTCCTTTCCAGAGGGGCCCAGAGCTGGACTCAGCAGTGCCTGACCAGGGAGGACGGAGCAGGGACCCACTGTGGTCCCCTGCAGCTTTCCCACCCCATGGCTCTGGGCAAGGCTTGCAACAAGCACTCAATATTCCCCTCAATACTTCCCAGGTAAAGGTGAAGAGCAGGGATGCAACTTCAGCTGAACATAAGCCAAGGTGTGTTCCCTACCTGACAGGTTTTTACACTTCAATTTCATACTTTTATAATGCAAGAAGCTATTTTTCCAGAGCTGTCAAACAATCCTTTTTATTACTGTGCATGCCTTTGATAGTACTTGCAGTATTTACAACATCCATGAGAAGAGCAGCTGCCCCTGGATCCCTGGCAGTGTCCAAGGCCAGGCTGGACACTGGGGCTTGGAAGAAGCTGGGATAGTGGAAAGTGTCCCTGCCATGGCAAGGGTGGCACTGGATGGGCTTCAGGTCCCTCCCAACCCAAATTATTCTATGATTTTCATTTGGATAAAAACCAGAAGACACAAGTATGCATTGTACATTAATGTATTTTTTATGCTCGTTATAAATAATGTATCAGTTGCTTCATCTCTCAGCTTTACATGATGTTCTAAGGACAATATATTACACCAGAACAAAACAAACTCAATAGAAAAAAAAATATATACCTTTGTTTTCCTTTATACAGAAGTTGTTTGTCATGGAACAACACCAAACAGGAGATTGGACAGGTAAATGATGGAAAACCTGAGTGACAGGGATGGCATTTGCTGGAAGTAAACAAAAGGATTTTACTCTTGATCAATCCAGACTGTTCCCCCTGTTGTACCTAACATATAACCTGGCTAAAATCAAATATGTTAAAATCCTGTTTCTTTCCCCAAGCAGAATTCAAACAACTCAGTTCTCCTTGTATTTAAAGTACTACTTGGAGCATGTGCCACAATGTAGACTTTTAAATCACTCTGAATTGACAAGCAGCACTTCAGCTGCGTGAATTTTGTACACCTCTATTTAACTTGGGGTCTGTCCCCTTCCAAAACCCCCAACCTGAAATGTCTATGTGCCTTTATTTTCACAGTGATTCATAAAGCAAGAGCTGAAAACATTTAAAACACCTTCTGGTAATGAAGTAGCTCATATCTGACATGGCAGGACCTGTTATAAGAACAAGGCCTAAAAGTTCAGTGATTTTTGACTGCAACAATAACACTAAATACTTTGGTTTTTGCCTATTCTGCATAGGAGACACATTCATGCACAAAACACCCCTAAATACTTAATAAATTATGTGTTTCTATGCTTATTTTCAGTAGCCTGGACTTTGTAAAGCAGCTGCTTCTCTTCTGAGCTGACACAATGAATTCAGGAGCAACGTGCCACCCGTCTGGAAGCAGCTCTGCCTTTCCCTGGGATCCCTCCTTTTGGGAAGGGATTGTCCTGAATTGTCCTGTGGCAGCCCAGCCAGTACAGTACAGGAAGGCAAAAGGCACTTCTGAGAATTAATCCACACAAATCTTCCAGTGAAATTGGAGTTTTTACCAACAGGACGTTTTCCTCCTCCTCTCTCTCTCTGTAGTTAAGTTGGTTTTTTTTTTTCTTGAAGTTTAGTGAAAGAGAAGTACAGGAAAGTAGGATAGGGGAGAAAGGGAAAAGCCAAAATTCCCTTTTCCCTATTTCTGCTTCTCCCTTTTTGGTGCTGTGCTCTAGCAATGTCTGTGTTTGGTTTATAAAAGCCTGGTAACTACCAGGAGATTAAAAGAATTAGTTAACCAGTCCAGCCTTTAAATTGAGCAACATGAAAGTAATTGCACAATAATGTAAGTGAAATATTCATTCCTTCCTTTTAGATTTTGCTCACAGACACAAGCAAATCAAGGTCAAGGTATGAACTAATCTTAAAATGTACTAGATAATATTTTTTTCCAAATACAGTTCTGAACCTAATTTCTTTTGTTTCCTGGTATTATTTTGGAACTTTGCAAATTTCCAGAGCATGGGTTTAGGGTGTGCTCACTTCCCACCTTGCCACCACACAGCCCTGGTACCCACACAGAGATTTATTATCATGCAACTCAGACCACTTGGTGATAAAAGTATTAAGAAACCACTATTTCAGCTTTTCAAACCCTCAGATTTCTATCAATTTAAGATATTTCCAGTTTATGAAAATATTTTTGCAGCCTCTGAAAAATCTGTAAATCCTTGAATTTGGAATGACTTGGAGAAATCTCTACTACAGGCATTTAGAAGAGCACGGCAGTGAAATAATTTATCAGGACTCCAATATTGTTATTCCATGATTCTATTTCCATTTCCACTTTGTTGCCTGCACAAAGCAATAGAGGAAGAAAAGGAGGAGGAAAAAGTCACTTCCTGTGTCTAGTTCAGTCCACAAACCCTCCAAAATTGGTAAGTAACCCCAGAGACACCGGGAACATCCTCTCAGCCACATCAGGCCACAGTAAAACTCATCTTCCATCTGCTCCTCCACAGCTTGCAGCAGTGTTACCCCAGTTTCTGGAGGAGGATTTTTGGCTCCTGACAGAATGATCAGCTTACCAGTGGTCTCTGAGACAAAACACCTCTTCCTCCCCCTCCCAAACACTTCCATTTAAAGTTTCAAGTGTTCCAGAATGGCCCCAGTTTGCTTTACAGTGTTTAATTGTGTCTGACTGGTGTGGGGGAGGCAGGGCAGGTTACCACACATCCCCTGGAGCAGGCAGCCTCTCATCCAGCTGCTCCTCTGGCAAACCCCTCTGTCTTGAAGGTGTTCCCAAAAACTTGCATTTCTCCACTGCTCCAAGATGAGGCATCACCCTCATCCCAAACCTTGATGCTCCTCTGCAGATTGGGTAGGGAGCACCAAGGAAATACTCACCCAAATCCAAGTTGGTTTGTCCTGCTTTCCCTCAGGTGTGTTCATCTCCCTCTGCTGACATTTACACCCACATTTAGAGCTGAAGGAAGCTGATTTAGGCTGTTACTCCCTGAGTTCTTCACGATGACACTGAATGTGTTTCTTCACAACTAATGACAGATTCTGCACTAGGATTAACACAAAAGACAAGACTTTTCCAAATGATTCCTCAGGTCAGAGCAAATGCTGCATTCCTGGCAAAGCTCCATGCTCATGAGGGTTCCAACAACAGGATCCCACTGACAAAATCCTCCAAGTACCCCTCTTCATTCTTCTGCCAGCTGTTTAATAAATACACTGCACTGCTTTACTGAATTTACAAATCACATAAACAAAACTCCCATCTTTGCTTCTGTTGAGTGACTCTTCCTTGGTTTAACTTATTTCCATATACAAAACCAGTAAGGCATCTATAATTCAGTTGTCTGGCAGCACAGCTTAAAACAAAAAAGGAAATAATAGTCTTTATTTGCTAGCTGGGAAACTTCTTCAGATGAAATACTGTCACACTTAGTTGGAGGCAGTAGTCTAGTTCTGTATTTTAAATAAACCTTTTTCTCTGAGCTCTGCAGAGAAACAGCCATGAAGAACAACCCAGAAGTCTAATGCATAATTGCTTTAGAGAAACCAGAATCAGTTTACAGGACACAGCCCATACCAGCAAAGTCTTGCCTTCAATAACATTTTTGCTGACAGTGTTGAAGACTGACCCATCAGCATTTCTAGGTTTGGAGCTATTTTAGAAAGCTGAAAATATTGTTTTCAGTTCAACAATCTGAGTTTACTTTAGGCCTTTGCTTCAATCTAGATGATCCAATACAGGAAATTCAGAATTTGGATTTTAAATGAAAGTCAAATAATCAAAATAGGTTAACCTAGAAAAACGTAAGTGGGGCCTTTTCACATAGTGATGATTATTTTCAGGCAAAACTTAACAGAAACCCAGTTTGGGAACCAACAAAATTCTCCTTGGGTAGTGTCCATTTTGGGAATCAGCTCTGTGCTCTCTGGGGAGGCATTTGTAACTAAAACTCATTCAGTAAAAAAAGGCAACGCAGTGAGAAGCTGAAATATTCCCATTTCAGTAAAGTGCACGGGGCTGTGACACACAACAGCTTTGCTACGACCTGATCTCTGCTGCTGGGCTGAAGGAGGGGGAGGCCAAGTTCTTCACTATTCTGTTGAGGTTGGCAATTTTCTCTTCCAGCAAATAATTCTTCCTCTCTGCAGTTTTCTGCCTCTGCTCTGTCACCTCCAGAGCCTTCAGCAGCTGCGCGTTCTCCACGTAGAGATCCTTGACCATGGCGTCTGCCTTGGTGTTCTTGGAAAGCTGGGGTGGCAATGGACACAGGCACTCAGCAAATGGCAAAGAAAACCTCCCAGGGAGGTGGGGAACTAGCTGAATGTGTTAATTATAACAAAAATATCAAAGTAAAACCCCGCTCCTCTCATTAAAACCCCAGGGTCTTTAGAGATGCCGTGGACGTTTTGAGACTGGAAAGGTTTTTTCAGGAGATGGGGTGGGTAACAGAGGGATTCAAATGAACCTGGTCAGGTGAATTCTGCTTTACAGCATTTATCCTCTAAGGACAAATTTAGTGCACAAGAGAATCCACAAGCCCAGTGATCCCACAGAGACACTTCCAAAAACCCCAAAACCACATCAAACAAAAGATGAATTTGGGGCAGGAGGCCTCAAAGAAATCAGTATTTTCTCCTCAAGAAATTATTTTCTCCTCCTTTTCTAAGCAACTTTTCCAGTTAGCATCCTCAACTGAAATTTGATTTTTGTTTCTTGATTTAGGAAATTAGTGAGTAGTGGATTCAGTCCCCAATTTGGAGTTTTATGAAGTTTTGAGCAAACATGCTGTAGTTGAGCTCAGAAGCATTAAATAAAACCACTTTTAACTTTATTCTGAACAACACCTTGGCAGCTTTTTCCCACTTAGGGGTTTACAGAAGGAACGGGGAAGGTTTGAGGAAATCCAAGAGCACTTACTTGTTCTTTCAGCTGATTTACTTTATCTTGGAGAAGCCTCTTCACAAGCCTTAATTTCTGCTCCACATCCATCATCCTCTCTTCCATCATTTTTAGAAGCTGCTCATGACCCCCCTGGAAAGCAACATTTATGTGAAAATCAGTTAAAAATCAGTTCCCATTCACCAGCCTGTTTTGTTTTTCCAGTTTATGCTCAAGAATATAGGTGGCTTTCCACATTTCAGTCTGATTTAGAGGCAATTAAATTAATAAACCTTAAATTGAAGCAAAATATTATGGCAGCACTTAAAGGTCACTCTCAGCATTGCACTGGTTTTCCAAGAAAGTTACACTTGAAATTACCAAATCAAGGGAAAATTATTTAAAATTCTAACTTCTGTCTTGTCTGTGACAGAGCTGGATAATTTCCCTTTCTTGTTCTATGGTGCTGCCAAATTTCTTGTGAATGTGGGAAACAAAATGCCAATTTAATGGTTTTAGAATAAAAGTAAGGTGAAGTCATAAGGTCACGTTTGACAATGTAACTCTCCCATGCCAGAGACCCCTTGAAACTGAGTCACATCCAAAAGAAGTAGAACTCCAAACTTCATTTTCTACATCTTTTTAGATTCATTTTCATAACCCTAAACTGGTTTTTCTTCTTTTTCTTCAGCAAGGTGACAGTGTAACTAAAACCATCATAATTTTGTGTCATGTTACACAAACACCCGAGGGAAATTTTCCCAAATAAATAAGAAACATCAGGAATTACAAAAGAACTTGTTTGGATTTAAGAACTTTAGAACCAACTGCAGGAAAATTGAGACTTATTTTAATGCTGGTTTGTTACTCAAAATTCTAGGCAGTAATTTGAAGAGATTAAAGTTTGAGAAAGCACCAACCCAAAACAAAACACCTTCAAACCCAAGCCCATCCCACCTGTGGAGGAGGATAAATGAAAACCTGCTTCAGGTAGGGAGTTCTTCATCTAAAACTCTACAAAATTATCCCCTTGGGAGGTTGATTTTATTTATTTAACTTATTTATTCAACATTTTATTTGCTGTAGCACCAGAAATTCAAATCTGTGTATGAGGTTATGTGATAATCTATTTTTATGAAAAAAGCCTATATTAGGGTTACACAGAAAACAGTTTTACTGTGTGGGTGGAGTGGATATTTTTCTGAATTAATGGAATTTGATTGGAATTCAAAACCCTGGAATTGGCTATTCCACCTTCCACTGGTTGTAGGAGCCCTGAGTAAGTAATTATGTGGAAAAGAAGAATTAGAGAACTCTCAATACCTGTGATCCCCTGGGGGTTTTTTTACCTTAAATATTCTCACTTCCCATTATTTCATGTTAAATGGGAGAAGTCGGCTCAGGCAGCAGCTTTAAGGTCATTAAAAATAGGAGAAAAAGATCTTTACAAGCAAACAGCTGAAATGGTTCAGGGCTCCAACAAGAAAAATCACAGGCCTTAAAGAGGAGTTTTGCTGAACTATTGAAGTATTAAAATCCTAATTTAATTAAATCAGGATTAAATAAATTCATTAAATCCTAATAAATGAATTAAATTTTATTAAAATCCTACTTTGAGACAAAATAAAAACTATAGAATTTTGTCCAATAAACTGTAATATTCCCTTTTTACTTTATGGCCACAGCAGTAGAAGATCTCTCATTTTCTTAAATTTTCAGGTACATCTGCTAAAGAAAAGCTGAGTTTCTGTACTCTAGTACATCCCCACCACAAATATTCCCCAAAAGTCCTGATATAACAACGTTCACTATCAAAGATAAATATTTTTGTCTAAAACTTGCTAATTCTTGAAGTGGAAATTGATTTCTATGAAGACAAGAGACATTATGCTTAAAAAAAAGATTTTATTTTTCATTTACATCAAAAAAAGTCATCTTTCCCTGTTAAAAAGTTTATACATCTTATACAAAAATGCAGTATAAATACCCCAGGTTTTCTTCAAATATCTTATAAAATTAGTACCATTTGAGAAAAATAGGCTCTTTCCCATACTGAACAACTGCACATTTTAAATAACATAAATAAAACCCGTTTGTAACAAATTTTAAAAAGCTTCTGGAAGCTTCTGAGCTTTCACAAAATAGCTTCTAGACAAATAAATAAGAAAATAACACTGCAAAGACCTTTTTTTTTGCTGTTTTTTTGGGACAAAAAAGGAAAAAAAAAAATAAGAATTTGATCCTCAAGTTTCTCAGCTTATGCCAGTTCTGTGTTTTTGTGTGTTTATCATGGAAAAGGAAGGGGATCAAAAGCAGGCAGAGGTGTCAGAGGTGCCCAATCCTCCGGTAGGAATCTGCATGCACTGCTCGCTGCTCCGGTAGCAAGGCCTGGAGAAAGAAGGGAAGTGGGAATACTTCACCCTGAGATCCAGGTTCTGCTTCAAAACATGAACACTTCAAGCCAAAAAAATCACCCGTACAAGCAAAGCAAGCAACACAGGACAAAAGAAAAAAAAAATACACACACACAGAGGAAAAAACATGCAGAGTATCTTATATTTAAATAAGTAAATTTTAATATCAGCACTACACAGCTGGGAGAGCGAGGGGGTATTTTATACATCTAAGGACTCTCATCCCTGGTTTTTAAAAGATCACTGGCAGTGATTAAGTTAGTAAAGTTTTTTAGAGGAAATCCTCCTCTATCTCTTTAAAAATCTCATTTATAGCATGAAAACCTCATATAATATATATATAAACTCACAGATTGCCAACCACTTGGGAAAAATGTATCCAGACATTATATATATATATAAATATATATTTATATATAATGTCTGGATACATATTTAAATATATGTATATGTACAATATATATCTATGTATATATATAGAATATATGAATATATGTAGAATATATATCTAAAACCTCATATATTGCCAAGCATTTGGGAAAAATGTATCCAAACATTGCATATAAATATAATAGATACATATTTTAGAAAATATACATAAAATCTCATAGATTGCCAAGCATTTGGGAAAAATGTATTCAAACACTATATATAAATATAATAGATATTTATTTAAAAAAATATATAAAAGCTTATAGATTGCCAAGCATTTGGGAAAAAATATAGCCAAACTGGCCCTCCTTTGAAAACTTTGCATTTCTGTCTCAAATCTTGTTGTTTTTCCCTCAGAGTGAACAAGCAGCTGGTCAGAGGAGACATGAAATTTGAAATAAAGAGCTGTACAAAGGGGGAACTGAGCAACTCAAATATTAATCAGTGCTAGGCAAGCTTTGGGAAATATTGGGTAATTAACAGACTCCCCAGTTTGGTTATTGAGAAGGGGATATGAGGTAATCACAGCACTGGACACAGCAGAAACAATCATTGGAAATTCAGAAGAGTCCAGACAGGTTAACACAGTACAAACAGCTCAGGAGTTATAATTCAATTTAACTTAGTGAAATTTAAACATGTAACAGCAGCCTTTGGCTGAAAATAACTCAGGACTGACTGCAAAATGAATGAAAAACCACAGACAAGCAGGATCAAAAAGCAATGACAACTGCAAAGCAGGATAAACACAAAATAATTCCTTTAAAAAAAAAAAAAGGGATAACTTTGGATTCCTCATTGCACAGGATCTAAAAAGCTGCAAAATGCAAAGCAGCAGAACTAAATGATTAATTTTACACATGGAGATAACCTGACCTTGTACTCACTGGTGAAAGGATGGTGGAGAGGGATTAGCATGGAAGTTTTCAGGCTGCTAAAGGGGACATGGAAAGGGACATGAGCTCAACTAAATGTTAGACCCTAAAAATCAGGATGGCAAAGAAAAATCAACAGAGATTCAAGCAGGAGGTGCTGACCAAGTGGAGACAAATAAATTTGGATTTCTTTACAAGTGCAGGTTTTTAATAATGATTTAGAAAGTTATGTAGTAGAAAAGGGGTGTTACAAACCAGAATATCCACTCATTTTAAGGAAAAAAATTAAAAGGATTAAGTGCATTCGTGCATTGACAGCACATATTTTTCAAGTCTAAGTATTTTTAAATTCACAAAGCTTTTCCAGGAAATGCAGAAGCAATTCTTTTCTAGAACTGCAAGTTCCAGGATGTGACTCGGTTGCAGATTGTTCCAAAATCTAAATTACAAACTCATCACTCCTAATGCAATCCCTGCACATTCATTTTGCCACTGCTGCAATATGGCTTGGATTGATTTTTAAATTCAACTGCACATTTTGCTCCCCATGGTATGGGAACAAGTACATCAGCCTGTGGTGATGCACTTCTGAAAAGGAACCTTACAATCAATTTATTTCTACTTAACCTGAAACTATTGGCTTTTCTTTTTTCATGAAACATTTTGATTTTATACCTTTCTTTAAAAAAAAAAAAAAATTACTCCAAGTTTTGGATACTTCAAAAACTGGCTACTGCCTATGCTCTCTCTGTAATACCTTTTTGTCTGGAATACTTATTACCACATCCAGAGATTTTTATGCTTCAAAGTCTTGGTATTATTATTATTTTAAGTTATTCTTTTAAAGTATAACTGCAATCTAAATTTAAAATGCAAGAGGGGTATTTTTTTCCCTGCTACCAGATGAATAAATAGCTAATAGTATTTTATCTAATTTATTTATCTAAGTGTAAATCTAAATAAATATCTAAGCTAAAATAGATAAAATACTAAATATACATTTAGGTTACTTAGAGCTTCATCTTTTCTTATAAGGTAAAGTTTTAATATTATTTTAAGACATTATTTGGCCAAAGCTTTAGAGATTTAGAGAGCCAATTATTTTGAAGAAAAGCATCATTTGGCAATTTTTATAGGGCAGATACAAACCTTTCTATTGCCTAGAATTCAGTTTTACAAGGTAAGTAGTTAACACTAAAAGTCAGTGGATGAATGAATCTTCCTTGGAATTGGTTTTCCCTCAGAAATGCCAGTGTTGAAGTTTCTGCACAACAGTAACAGTGTCTTGTCTCATGGCCAAATCAGGAAGAAAAAGGATTAGGAAAAACCTTTAGAAAAAGGATTCATTTGTGTTCTGCTCTGCTACCACTGACACAACCCCATGTGACAGCCACAGCCCAATTTAGGATTTTATGTGATGGATGCCTGTGCAATATTTGGTGTGGTGTATTTTACAAATAATAGTTCCAGACACGGTCATTGGGTAAAGAAACAAAAAAAAAAGCTTCTATAAACACTTACTGCACATGGAGCAGAAGGAAAAAAGCCAGTTAAATGTGGTTTGATCTCAAAAAAATGAAGAGCCCTTGAGAACAAAGCTCTGGCTCACCTAACCACACCAAACAGCATTTTTACACATATCCTTGCTGCCGTGAAATTTCATTTTTGAACTGGCATAAACAGAGAACGGATCTCACCAGAATAAAAAAAACCAAATAAAACACCAAAAATCCCCAAGACAACTCAACCAAATACTTAAAAATGTTTCACTTTCAAGGTGGGGGGACCTTACCTGCTGCATGTTTGTCCCCGAGGGTCTGCTCTCGAGCTCTTCCTGGAGGTGCTGAGTCCTCCTCTCTGCCTGCAGCAGCTGCTGCTGGAGCTGCAGGAATTGTTCCCTGGGCACCGTGGCACAGCCTTGCTGCTGGGAGCTCTGGCTACGCATCCCCCCGGACTGGAGCATCTGGAAAAGCCCAAAATCCCAACATCAGCACCTGCTCCCTCCTGCCTGGGTTGCTCCAGGAGCGGCCTGCCCTCGGATTCCTGGTGGGCAAGAGGAACGAGCCTGCGCTCGGTGATAGAAGGTGACAAAAGATGGAATTTCACACAAAGGAAGCTGGGCTTTGAGTCATCATTTCAGGCCTGAATTAGAAAAATCACTGAATTTTTGATGAATTCCTATCGAATTTTTATTTTCCAATATTGGTACCAATATTTTCCCATTTCAAGGGGAAGGCTGAAGTTGTGCTGATTATTAGTTGTGCTAATTATTTCTAGTCTTTAGGGTGGAGAGGGAACATTTATCTCTGCTATTACCTTCAAAATCCAGTATATAACACCCTATAGATATTCCCTAATGTTCACTCCTAACTGTGGAGACATTCAGAGCTAAGACAGCCAGGTGAAATAATTTAGCATTTATCCAGACTAAAGCAAAACCCAGGTAAGTAACTGGTAGTTGGAAGAGTTAATTATCCTGAAAAGGACCAGAACTGGACAGTAAAAATCCCTGATGGTTCAGACAAACTCATCTGCAGCTGGAATTTGTGTAGCATTAATAATTTCTTCCCATAAAATCCTGTTGCCTTAAAACCATTACTCCATTCCCTTAGGAAAAGGTGTATAAGATTATCTTGGTGATTTTAGTTTTCCTTTCACAACTGATTTTAATTCCCTTTCACAACTGGCAAAATTATCAATTTGGATAATATTTCAGTTACTGACTTCATCTCTAACTGTAAATATTTTTCACAATGGTGCAGCTCTTCTGTTACCATCCCTATCTCTGCTGGTCCAGAGATAAACGGAAAATAGGTTTATAAATACTTCCAAATAAAACTATTTGTACTTTTTAAAGCTATTTAGGGGTTCTCTTTGTAAAGGAGCTGTTCTTTTCCTGATAATATAAACAGTGAAAATAATGAGCTTTTGGTGGGATTTCTTTCAGGTTCCTGTCATGTTGTGAAGCACACGAGTAACTAATGAGGAAACAGTCAATTAGTGTTCACAGCATCTTAAAAATAATTACTAATGAAACAACAATGAAAACAATAAAGCCCTGCTGTATTCATCTGTGGAAGAAAATGGAACAATCATGAGCTTGCTAAACTACCAGGATGATGCCAAGTGGGATCAGAAATTAATTAATTTGAGGAAACACTGGACAGTCTGGTGGAAAAGCATGCAGGCACCAGAGGTAAATATGCAAACACCTTCAAGCCTCACAGGCAATGGGGTAGCAGGAAGCCACTTTTCATTCTCCCACTTCCAATTTGAATTCTTTTGGGAGCAGTGGGGTGATTTCTCCCCACTTTCATGGCAACCCCTTAGGAACACGCAGCTCCTCGGGGTACAGATCCACACTGCACAACACAGAGCACAGAGAACCTGTCCAAAATTGACACTGAAATGAATAGTGGCTTCTTTACTTGAGAGATGCATGGAATAAAAAGAAAATAAATCCATTTAAAAAAAAAAATATGAAGGAGTGTTTTCTCCATGCTATGGGGGTACATGAAAAATGATTGCTCTACCTTCACACACTATTTCAGAGAGAGAACTGCCCCCTTCTCTGCTAGCTCCAACCACTGAGTTCTAGCCAGGTTAGCCATGGACAAAAGGAGAACAGGCACAAAAGAGAGAGTTAGAAGTCACAAATCACTGAGTGAATGTTGTACACACCTGCTGAGAAAAGGTTACCAGGAGGAACAAAATCCTGCGTGGTTGAAATACACATTTCAGGAGAAAAGGCAGTCCCAGGCTGGGTGGTTATGGGTTTAAGTGTTTGGCATTTTCCCAAGGCTTAATTAAGACTACATAAATAAATAAATTCACAGGGAATATAAAGAGTCTTTTCATTAACTTGTCAAAATCTCATCTTTCCTAATTAGGTTTTTACAGTTTTATTACTAATTACATAGGATTTTCAGCCTAATGGCTCCCATTTGATGAGAAACATGAAGCCATTTATGAAGTGTTATAGAAGTCTCATCTAAAAGATGCTTTAACTTATGGAACAAGTCAAAATTGCAGGGGTTATTTTTTATTATTATGTTTTAAACTCAAATCCAGGACATCAAATTTAGGCAAGACTACTGAGAGAGAGCTTGGAGGTCTGGGCTGACCTTATGGGATGCACTAAACACAGCTAAATTGCCCATTCCTATAACCAAGGACTCCTAAACTTTGATGATTCATCTCCAGCAGAACTTTTACAGCAGCTTTTGGAAGAATCTCCACTAAAGTTTTCACTTGTGCCTTTAAATTAACAGTAAGCTGTGTAAATTGCTATTTTTTCACTATTTAGATAATATTAAGCTTAAATTCAGCAAATTATTCACAGAGGAAATAAGAAGAGGTTTCTACATGAAGAGCAGCATCACACAAATATTAGATAGGAAATTTGAGGTGACATGTTTTAGGAAGGAAGAGGGAAGAGTCAGCCTTGCCTCAAGTACAGAAACAAATTTCTTTGCTATTTGATTTTCTATCTGAAGGCATATGTGAATTATGACTAAACAAAACATGCTTCAGAAATGAAAGAGGAGAGGTTAATTCTTCTAGTTTCAATTAGTTTTCTGTTGCTACCCATCCATAAGTTGTTTTAAAATAAAATGAATCTAATAAAAGGGATAAAGGCCCACAGTCAAGACTGATTGCAAAGTACCTCCATTAACTGATCATCCAGCTTGACTTGCTTTTTTCTCAGCCCTTCGTTTTCTGAGCTGGTTTCCAGTTCACGTTCAAGAGAATTCATCTGACTGATCTGTCAGAGACAAAAAGTTTCCTTAGAAAAGCAGCAATTTCTCATTTTATCTGTTTTTTCCCCCCCTCATGAACCACTGGATACCAAGCCAACTCAAGTCTAAAAACCAGGAGTATGTGGACAAGTGCTTTGCTGCACGAGCTGTCTCACAGCAGATGCACAGAGCCCTGACAGCTCCTTCAGACACAGATTTGTGAGAGGCCAAGAGCACAAAATGCAGAGCAGAAGAAGAAAGTTATCTTAGCTGAGAGGTTGGTGTAATTCTGTACCTTTCAAACCCAAGCTGCACTGAAAATTAGATCCTCTGCAAATGACTGGTTTAATTTTTACAGTTGATAGGTGCAAATTAATGCATTGTCCACAGATCTGGGGGTTTTGTTGGCAAAAGGTTTCTTTTAGGGAAGAATGGAGACTCAAGGGAGGGACTGATCATTGCCTGTCCACGTTCAACACTTCAAATACAGCTCATCCCTTGAGCTTCTGAGAGATGGAAACTACTGCACTGATTTGTGTGTTTGCCACCCAAAACTCACCTTCCTGTTTGCAGATGACAACTCTTTCTGAAGCTGTTCACACTCTCTCTTCAAGCTCAGCTTCTCCTGCTCTATGGCTTTGACAATCCCTGCCTGGCTCTGATGCTTTTGGTGCTTTAGGGAAAGGATTGTGGATTCCAGCTGTCGGATCTGAGGAGATCAGAGATGAACAAATGGGAAAAGATGTTCCAGATAGTTCCTGTTTATCTAAAATACCAGTTGATTTTGGAATCCCAGAATGGTTTGGGTTGGAATTACCTTTAAATGCCAACCCATTCCACCCCTGCCATGGCAGAGACACCTCCCACTATCCCAGGCTGCTCCAAGTTCTGTCCAAGCTAGCCTTGGACATTTCCAGGGATCAAAGGGCAGCCACAGCTTCTCTGGGCAACTCTGGGTTATTTTTGACATCTTGGCCTTCTTTCCCTTTGCCCTCCCCATAATCCACTTAATACTGTGAGCTAAGAAATTCCACAAGAAAAACATTAGGAATACTAAGAATCTTTTTGTTAACTTGGAGTTGGACTGAAATCTTGGACAATAATTACCAGGATTGTCTTTTAAAGAAAAGAAATATCCTGAGAGTGTTGTCAAGGCTCATTCTCTGGAGAAATTGCACAGAAGAACATTAAGAACATGAAGAAACTTTCTGCTAACTTGCAGTTGGACTGAAATCTTGGACAAGGACTACCAAGATGGTCTTTTAAAGAAATATCCTGAGAGTGTTGTGGATTCTCATTCTCTGCAGATATTCAAAACCTGCTTGGGTTGTGATCTATGCAAAGGGCTCTGAGTGACCTCCAGAGCTCCCAGCCCAGCCCTCCTGTGACCTGCCAGCCTGCCCAGGTTACCTTTTCCCTGGAGTGAGCCAGGTCTGTTTTTGTGCTCTGCACTTCCCTCTGCAGCCTCTCGTTGTCCTGCCTGAGCAGCCTCTGCTCCTGCTCATCCCAGTGGATGGGCCCCTGCTGGTCCTGCAGCCCTGAGGGAGGCACAGCCACTTCCAGAACCCGGTTCTTAAGACAGACAGAATTGCAGGGTTAGGCCTTCAACAAAGAAGCAGACATTTGCTCTATTCAGGTGGGTTTTAGGTGGATTTTCAGTAAGTGCAGGCTCCAAAGTTGCAGCATTCCCATCTCCCTCCCAGCCCACTCACTGTTTTCCCTTAAGAAATCCAATGTGCAAATCCCAAGTGCTTCCCTCTAGTAAAATCATGGATAATAGCATTGTGCACAAGGTTCAGCAACACAAAAAAAGCAATTTATGCTCTCTTTAGAGCCAAACAGAACTCAGTATTATATATTATGTACTAATAGCTGTAATTTAGCTCTTGTTGTACAATTCTGAAACAGCCTCTTTTCCATGTGGACATTAAATATTCCTTAATTGCATGGCAAACAAGCCAGATTGGTAACTGAATTCCTAACAGCAATCCCAGGACTGCTGTCTACAGCCTCCTTCAGTTACAAATCCTCATTAGCTGAGAGGTTGGTGTAATTCTGTACCTTTCAAACCCAAGCTGCACTGAAAATTAGATCCTCTGCAAATGACTGGTTTAATTTTTACAGTTGATAGGTGCAAATTAATGCATTGTCCATAGCTTTGGGGGTTTTATTGGCAAAAGGTTTCTTTTAGGGAAGAATGGAGACTCAGAGGCTGATCATTGCCTGTCCACGTTCAACACTTAAAATACAGTTTTTAGAAACCAGCTTAAAACCTGCACATTTTATCCAATCCACAAGAATTACAGCAACCTCCTGAGATGCCTGAAGCCTTTACCTTGTCACTGCTGTTCTGCAGCTGCTTGTGCAATGCCATCACTTCTTGTTTCAGGCTTTCCTTCTCCTGCTGTGTCAGCTGCAGGTCGGATTTCAGCCGGGACATTTGGAGGTTGGTGCTCTGCAGAGTTTCATTGAGGCTCTGAACCTGGAAAGAGCAGGAGCACAGCTTGGCTTTTGTGGATCAAGATTCCCTGTGTGGATCACGTAGCCCAGGTATTTAGGATTTCTGATAGGAGGAGTGAAGTTTAAAATGTTGATTTCCTCCTTTGAAAATGTTAAATTGAGTTTATTGCTCTCTACAAGTCCCTGACAGGAAGGTGGAGCTGAAAAGGGTCAGGCTCTGCTCACAGGGAACAAGGGACAGGATGAGGAAACAGCCTCAGGGTGTGTCAGAGGAGGTTTAGATTGGATATTAGGGAAAATTTCCTCATGGAAAGGATTTTTGAGCATAGGCACAGCTGCCCAGGGCAGTGGTGCAGTCCCCATCCCTGAAGGGATTTAAAAGCTGGGTGGATGTGGCACGGGTCAGTGGTGGCCTGGGCAGTGCTGGGGGAATGCTTGGACTATTTTATAGGGATTTTCTATCCTCAAAACTCCATAATTCCAAATGATTTTCCAACTTTCTGTTCCAAGCTCACAGCCACCCACTTTGAATAGAGCCACAATGCTGCATTCACCAGAAACATCTTCCAGCCCTGAGCATTTCCTGAGATATCTGGAAAGAAGCTTTCCCTTAAATTGTTTATTCTTCCTGGCAGGAATTCTTCCCACTCCAGGAATGCTCAGCCAAGCAGGGAACACTTGATCCCATCCCTGCCTGGTCAAGGATGAGCCTGCACCAGGACAGAGGAGCAACAGCAGAGTCTCTGCAGCATTTTAGGAATCACCAGACAGAGAATTGGCAAAAGTAACTTGGCTGTAGAGAGAAAAATCCCTCCCTGTGTTAAACAAGTTTCCTTTTATCCTTTAAGAACATCACTTGGAAAGCCCCTCAAGCAGCCATTCTCAGCTGCATGGCATCAGGAGGGGCTTTCATGAGAAAAAACACTACAGAAGATGATCAAACTGCTTTTGTCAGGGTTAGAACATAAATCAGTGTTTCCTACCTTGTCCTGGGAGAGGCTGAGCTGTGCTTTCAGTGCCTGACTCTGCTGCTCCCAGGATTTCTGCTCCTGCTTCAAGCTGCCAATTGCACTCTCCAGGCAGCTGACTTGAGCCACCTGCAATGAGATTACATCAGGAATCCTCACTCAGGAATTTGTTTTTGACTCCATTTCACTTCAAGGGTTACCCAAGAGGGAGTTAAAGCTAAGGAAAGACGGAAAATGCAGGACAGCAAAAAGCCCCTCAGCTCCCTGAATTTCCACACAATGGGATTATTATTTACAATGTGCAGACTGCTCTGCTCCAGTTCAGAGTTACAGTAGGTTAGAGATGCAATAAAAGTCCAAGAACACTGTCTTCCTTGTCCTGCTGCAGTATTTATATCCAGGCCTCTCTTCCTTGCAACGCTTGGAATTTTCTACATAATCAAATTACAGTCAAGCCGTGCTCCAGAATTGAAGCTTTCCTCTCTAAGACCAGCTAGGGAAAAAAAATCCCAGGCAGTGGCAATAAAGCATTTATCTGGCTTGAGGGTGAGGGAAGAAACATCCAGAGAAGTTTTATAGGTTGTGGTGATACAGATATAGGAATTTTAACAGCCTTTTACAGCACATAGTGATGAGGATTTGCACTCCTCTCTTACCTTATCAATGCATCTGTTCAGTTCCTCACTCAGGGCTTCTTTCTCTTTCTGCAGCTTTTCATTTTTAGTGATTAAACTTGAAACTTCATTTTGAAGGTCAGCAAGATCAGGACATCTGGGCAGCTGTGGGAAACAAACCCCTCAGAGTTCCATTTTTGTGCTGTCACAGAGTTGGGCATGAAAGTCAGGGGATGCCCAAATGGTTTGGGTTGGAAGGGACCTTTGAAGGTCAAATTCCAACCCCGCCTCTGGAATAAGCAGGGACACCTCCCACTATCCCAGGTTGCTCCAAGGTGTCCTTGGACACTTCCACAGCCTGTGCCAGGCCCTCCCCACCCTCACAGGGAAGGATTTCTCCATAATATCCCATGGAAATCAGCGTGTGTTAAACACACAGAGGGAAAAGCACTGCACTGCTGACTTCCAATCCTTTTCCCAACTGCCCCAGTGCTTTATCACTGCCTTTCCTCATTCCAGCTCCTGTAATTACACTCCAGCCACAATCCACTCCTTTCTGAATAGGCCTCAGCTGCTTTTGCTTTTTAAGACCATTATCTACCCTGAGCACTGAGTGTTTTACACCGTGCAGAAAATGACTTTGTGGAGCCCTAATCAGGGAACTGACTCATTTGAAGCCTCCATTATCTGTGTTTATTAGCATACTTTTACAGCCAATTGAACTGTGCTTGTACAGGAGATAACTGAGCTCTCCAGGAAATTATCCTCAGACCTTGTGAGACTCCCATATCTCCAGATGGGTTTAGCAACAGGAATTCTCCCTGACAGAACATGCTGGAAGAGCTCACTCCTTAAATGGGCTAAAATGGGTTATCTCCAGTTAAACAGGGAAATGTTCTCCTGTGGATCCCACTTGCCCTGTCTATCCCTTAATTAGAGCTTTAAACCTTTATCTTGACCAAAGCTTCTCTTTGTAGACCCGCTACCCCCAAAAATCTTTTGGCAAAGTCTAAGTGAACCCGACCTTGTTTGAAGAACTGTGTTGCACCTGGAAACTCTTTCAAGAGGAGATACATTCCCTTACATTTATGACCTTTCTTTAAAGAAATCAACTGTTTCCACCTCTTAATTTTCATCCATTAAGAGATGGTGCAAATGAATCTGATGGCACTCAAACAGAATGCCAGTAGGGTTTGGGTTGGAAGGGACCTTTAAAGGTCAAGTTCCAATCTCTCTGGAAAAAGCAGGGACACCTTCCACTATCCCAGCTTGCTCCAAGCTGTGCTTGGACACTTCCAGGGATCCAGGGACAGCCACAGCTCCTGTGGCCAACAGCATGCCATACCTGTTTTGTCTTCTCCAGCTCCTGCTTGAGGATGTGGTTCTCCTGTTCCAACAGATGAGCTTGAACCTTCATTTTTGACAAATCCATCTCCAAAGACGACACCATATTTGATGACTGCAAAACATGAAAGGCTCAGATTTCAATTTAGGAGACTCTCACAGAGCAAAGTTTAAGCAGAGGATGCTGCAGCCACTGGATAAAGCTGAGATAGCACTGAATGAACAACAGCCATGCTGGAAAGGGCAGGGAAATATTTGGCATCATCACTAAGCTGGGTTTTCAAGACCTGCACATTTTTCCCTCCTGGCTTTTTGGCTGCTGCTGTGTTTAAGCCAGCACTTAGCAAAGCTCAGCTTTGAAATCCCATCCCAGGACAGGGATGCCAACTCCAAAGCCCCTGAAGTCCTACCAAATCCTGTACCTTGATTTTGGACTTTTCCAGCTCCTCTTTCAGCAGCAGCCTCTCCTTCTCCCATTCTTCCAGGGTACACTTCCCCTCTTCCCTTTCCTTTTGCTTGAGCACCCTTGCCAGCTGTTGATTGAGATCCTGCACATCTGCTTGGTTTTTGGAGTTCCTCTGGCTGAGTTCTGTGTTTTCAGAGTCCAGCTGTTGGTTCCTGGTCTTCAGATCAGCCACCTGAGCAGGAACAGCAGTGATTTTACACCAGGAATGAGATTTTGGATATTTCCTTTCTATTAAGGTGATTAAAGATCTGACAACCCTCACTCTGACAGTGACTCCAAACAAATAATTTGTCATTAATTGGCCTTAATTAGAGACCAGTCATATCAGTCACCCAACACAGCACTCTTTGCCATGCTGGCATGGATTTTGAGGGTTATCCTAACAGATTATTCTGAGCAAGAATTGTCCTAAGCAATACCAAGATGAGATGGATGTAAAAGGTAATTAATCCTTCTATTCCACCCATTATAACAAGGCACCCCTAAAATCAAAGTAGCAGCCATATGGATACAACTGGCAGCATTCCTAGACCAAGCCAGCTGGGAAATGAGAAGAGGTTGAATCACAATCTCCATTTCCCAGGGGCTACTGCAGAGAATTGCACAAAAACTACAAACCAAAAGGTTTAAACTTTGTATTTCTATGACAAAAACTTTCCAAGTTGACTGTGGATAGTGCTCTCAAGGCTGTAAGCTGGACAATTACAGCTTCTGTCTTATGAGCAGGTCCAGCAAGCCTCAAATCAATCCCAAAGAGGCAATCAAACAGTTATCAAATGTTTAAATTTATAAAGTGCTCGTTTTCTGCGGTCTTTGTGACTATCCAAGGAACAGCTTTGATGCAGTGATGATTTCTACAGAGAAGGTTCTGGGCTCTGGCCACACACCTGCTTTTTCAGGTTGTCCACCATCTTCTGCACAGCCACTTTCTCCTTTCTCACAGCCTCTATCTTCTGCCTGTGGAAAAATGAAAGCTCATTAACACCCAAATCAATTATCAATGTACACAACTGCAAGATTGCACTGGGGGACATCACCTCAAGTTGTGCCAGGGGAGTTTAGATTAGGTATTAGCAAAGATTTCTTCACTGCTCAGGGCAGTGGTGGAGTCCCCACCCCTGGAGGGATTTAAAATCCATGTGGAGTGGCCAACAGCATGCCATACCTGTTTTGTCTTCTCCAGCTCCTGCTTGAGGATGTGGTTCTCCTGTTCCAACAGATGAGCTTGAACCTTCATTTTTGACAAATCCATCTCCAAAGACGACACCATATTTGATGACTGCAAAACATGAAAGGCTCAGATTTCAATTTAGGAGACTCTCACAGAGCAAAGTTTAAGCAGAGGATGCTGCAGCCACTGGATAAAGCTGAGATAGCACTGGATGAACAACAGCCATGCTGGAAAGGGCAGGGAAATATTTGGCATCATCACTAAGCTGGGTTTTCAAGACAAACCTGCACATTTTTCCCTCCTGGCTTTTTGGCTGCTGCTGTGTTTAAGCCAGCACTTAGCAAAGCTCAGCTTTGAAATCCCATTTTATTTATTTATTGCTCAGCATCCCTGTTCTGCATCAGCTTGGCAAGTGCTCAACCTCTCAAGGTGCCCCAAGTGGGTCTTTCCTTGAGGGGAAGAATAATCCCAGGATCAGGGATGGTTCTGCACTTGCCAAAGACTCAACCACTGGAATAATCTGTCATAAGAGCCTCTCCCTGCCTTTGCTGAAGCACAAATAATTGCATCAGGTCAGCTCCTAAGTCCTGTGCGTGTTACTGGGTCACCTCAATGCCTACAGCTAAACCCCTGCCTGGCTCTGGGGATGGGCAGGACAAGCTGGGGCAGGGAAAAGGATGAGGAACAACCTGTCAACCTGCTGGATTTCCAACAGCACCATGAAATAACCCCATTTTGGATCTGCACAGCACCTAACACACGAAGGAGCTCGGAGAGAAGGGATGAACCCATCGTGGCTGAGCCACACAACAGCCTGAAGGCATCACAGGCTGCATTCCCCGTGGAATTCTCACCTCATTTCTTCCCTGGATCCATTCAGCTCCCTCAGTTTCAGGCTGGAAGCGCTCCCTTCCTCGTTTAATAAAGTCACCTCGTTTTTCAGGACGGCGTTTTCCTCGCGCAGCTTCTCGGCCTCACACCTGTGCCAGAGACAGGAGACAAGTGAGAACAGTTCCTGTGGGACACCTGGAGAGGGAGAAGTCCCACTAGTCAGAGCCACCTGTAATGCTTCAAAAACAAAGCTACAATTGCCTTGTTTTATGTATAAATGCTGTATTTATATTTTACATGAATTCAGCAGGAGAGCTCCCCAGTTTGTTCAAAAAACCCCAAAATTTTACAACAAATTTAAAAAAAAAAACAAAAAAAAAACCAAACAAACCTGGACTTTCGGGGCATGTTTTTGAGCAGCTCAAGTGAGTTAAAACCTAAAGTTTCACACTAATATTTTACATATTTTTCAGTCCTTAAGTTAGAAATAACAACTGAACACCACAATATGCAGATTGCCAGGAGAGTGAGCTGTTTCCCCAACTGGAATTCAGAATTCTGGGAACAGCACAGTTGGGAAGTGTCTTTTCTGTCCTCAGGAGACTGCACAGAAATAACTTAGCCATGGTGGGACACCTGAAAGAACAATTTCCTGCAGGAAGCTGGTGCTGAACAATAATTAAACCACTTGTAGCCACTTTATGCATAAAAAAAGAAATCCTTGCTGGAATACAGCAGTTAAAAAAAGTAGGTAAAACCTATGATGAGTATAATATAATGAATATATCTTTTATAAAAATATTTACCATACCCCACCCCTAAGGGGTTCCTAAGTGGGAAAAAAGTCCCTATAATTCTCTAATATTAACTTAAATACTGAGAAAAAGAGAAGCACTTTTAGCATTTCAAATTACCATAATTCTACAGCGTTCACCGAAATACTGAGGAAAAACAGGAGCAATTTTAGCCTTGCGAGCAACATTCAGCTCTGGAAGGGAACAAACCGAGCGAAGTGAATATTAGTAAAAGCTACAAAGCACTCTGGAAGTGTTACCATGGATTTTGGACATGGAAATACAATGGGTTTGTGCTGGAGGACGAGCTACACACGGTGACATCCACACACAGGACAGCCGGCAGGTGCTCCTGCTTAGGTGGTGGGCACAGAGAGGAGTAAGTCACACACAGTTATTGGTTCCAGTGGGCTTTTATCCACGACTAGAGGAGTTAGGAGTCCACGGCACTGCTTGCTACTCGGAGTTAAAGCAGAGTTAAACTAGGGTGGTTAAAGGAGCAGCCAGGGCAGCGCTGGGTTAGTGGCTAACGCCGCGTTACGTTACCTCAGCAGGTCAACCTTCTGCTGCAGCTCAGTGCACGTGCTCTGCAAGCCCTGGGTCACTGCCCTCCTCTCCTCTGGGGGACCCACAGTGTTCTCCTTCACCTGGGGGTTGGGATCCCTCATTCCTGCTTTTTCCATTTGTGTCGTGGTGCTGGCGCTTTGGGGATCCTTGTGCTGCTGGCCCGGGAATGCAGTGGGGTGTTCTTCCAGCTTCCCACCTCTCGTGTCCCTGGGCACACCTGATTTTCCTTGAGCATCTTGTTCTTGGACATCCTCTGATTCTTTAATATCTTCCAATCCTTTCTCTTCCACGAGGAATTTGGCGTTTTCCTCTTCAAACTTTACTCTTCCCACCTCGTTTTCTTCTTGTTCACAACAAAGGCTTCTCAGCCTACGCAGCTTGTCTTCCAGCACTCCATTCTTTTCAATTAACTGCATCACTTCAGCCTTCAGGTCCTCATTTTCTATCTGAATTTCTTCTTGTAGCGACAGAAGTTCAGCCTGTGCCATGGATCTGTCTTCCAGCTCTTCCATCCTTTTCCAAAGTTGAGCTATTACGCTCTTCAGGTCACCATTTGCTGCCCCAGGAGTGTGATCCAGCACGAGAGAGTCTTCACTCAGTTCTTCAGCCCTCTCCAGCTCCACCTGCATCTTCAAAGCATCAGAAACAATCCCTTTATTTTTGGGAGCTATTCTGTGATTTAGCAGATGAACCTTCTGCTGTTTGACATCGTTGTGCAGCGCTTCTGGCCTGGGAACTTTCTCCAGATCTCTCTCTTTTGGCAGCAGAGGCACCCAAGAAAGGTTCTTGTCACAATCCTGGTTGCCATCAGCATCCAGAGCCGCTTGACTTCCCTGGATCCAACACCCCTGTGCCTCAGGGTGGCCACCAGCCCTGGCTTTCACACATCTCTCCTCCAAATCCCAATCCATCTCTGACATTTCTTCCAGGTCTGTAGTGTCAGCCTCCAGAGGCGGAAGGACACTGAAATCTGCTCCCACGGCCACATCTTGACAATCACTGGGCAACCCTTCAAAAGTGGGATCTATTTCCTCCGGTTCTGAGCCAGACTGGGAGCAGCTGGGGCTGGGAGGTGGCAGCTCCTGCTCTGCTGCTTCCAGCCGGTGCTGCAGCCTGAGGATCTGGGCAGCCATCCTGACATTCTCCTTCACTGCCTGCTCGTGCACCTTCTGCAGGTGTTGGAGAACATCCCCATCATCTCCCAGAGGAGCTGCACCAGGAAAAGCAGCGATCTGGCTCTTGGCTTTTGCATACTCACTCTCCAGGACCCTGTAGTGGCTCTGCAGGGCAGAAAAACTCCGTGTTTCCCACTGCAATTTCTGTATTTTCCCCCGGAGGTCTGAGACTTCCAAACCCAGCTCAGCCTTTTCTGTCTCTGCTCTCTCACAAATGTCTCTGTTTAAACTCTCCAAAGCAAGAAGTTTGGAATTGAGCTCTTCTTTCTCTCGCTTATACTCACTGTCCAGTCTCTCCAGCTTTTCCCTAAACAGTTTCCCATTTTGCTCCACTGTGGATATTTGTTCATCTTTCTCCTTTAGCTCTTTTTCATGGTCATTTTGGAGCTGTTTTATTTTCTCCTTCATCTTTTCCTCTTGCTCCTGGGCAGCATTCCTCAGCTCTCTCAGCTCCTTCTCCAGCTGCTCCTTCTCACACACCAGCTTGTTCACTTCTTCCTTGAAGTTTTTCTCCAGGAGATCCTTCTCCTGGCTCAGGGCAGAACAAACAGCCTTCTCACTTGCCAAGCTTTCCTTCAGCTGCTCGTGGGCTTCAGCAGCCTCCTGAGCAATTTCATCCCTTTCAAACTCCCACTGGGATTTCTCCTCTCTTTGCTGCTCAGCAAGCTCCTGCAGCTCTCGCTGGTAACGTCCTTCCAGACTCTGCAAGGTTTCTTCATATTTATTCACAAGTGTTTGTGTGTCCACAGAAAACTGAGTTTCTGCATGAGATGCTCTTCTGTTATAGTCACTTGCCATTTTTTTCCTAGACATGGTTAACATAAGATATTACTAAACTACCTCAGAGATTAAACTGGCTTTTTAGGCTGAATAAAACAAGCTGGAAATGTACTTTTTTTTTTTATCTACTGACTATTGGATGGGTGTTTCTGGGAGCCGTAAGTTAAATTGGAGGCAATGTGGTGGAACTTCAAAAAGAAAAGCTGCCTTGGAAAAATGCAACAACTCATGAAATGTCCTCAGAAAAGGTTTCATGTGCAATACGTGCCCTTCAGTTCCTGTGCTCAGATTTTGGGAGGGCAGATGCTCTCACCCCCCTCACCCCAGGGTGGCTTCAGTTTCTTTTGACACTCCATGTTGGCTAAAAGCACATCCCAGCCACCCCTTTCCTCCTTCAGCAAAGAACTCTGAAAACCCAGAGTTTAAAAAGAATTTGTGGAGCACAGGGATCCTGAACAGAGCTGGAGTTAATCACGCCTGGTTATGCTTTAACACAACTGCTGCCTCTGGGCGAGCTAAAAATGAATCTAAAGATCTGCTTGAGAAAGGTCAGAAGAGAAAAAACCCTGGAGAGCAGCCCAGTGCTGTGGAACAGAGCAGGACACTTGGAATTCCCCAGCAGGGAAGTGTTTCTGCACTAGGTTCACCCCGGTCACCATGCTCCAGCACTGTCCCCACCAGAGGTGACACCCCACAAAGGTGGCACTCACCTTTCCTCCTCCAGCTCCTGCTGGTGCTTCCTCAGCAGCTCTTCCTGGAGCTCCTCCTTCTCCAGGGCGTGCACCTCTGCCAGCCTCTTCAGCTGCTCGTGGAAGCCCTGTTCCAGCTCCCCCTTCTCCTCCTGCAGAGCCTGCACCACAGCTCTCATCTTCTCTTCCACCCAGACACTCTTCTGGATCAGCTCCTCCCGTTCTTGCCTGAACTTCTCATTCACCTGCTCCAGTCTGGCCCTGACATCATCTTCATGCTCCTGCCTCAGCAGTTCCTGCAGATTGGCTTTCTCCTCATCAAAATGCATCTGCAATTTGTTTTTCTCCTCCTTGTGTTTACAGTCGAGCTTCTCCTGCTGCTCTCTGAGCGCTGCTGCCTCGCCCTGCAGCTCTGCTATTTGATTTTTGAGGCCAGTGATCTGCTTTTCCACGACATTCATCTCCTCAGCATACTTCTGCCTCATATCCTCTTGCTCCTTTTCCCAGTGGGCTTTTGTCTCATGCAGCTGCTTTTCATAATGGCTCACCTACAGGAGGGAAAACGGGATGGATTAATTCACTTTCCACAGAATATTCTACAGGGATATTTTCATCAATATTTCCATCTAGTTTTATATATCCACTCCATTGAATATTTTAATTTACACTTCAGCATCTTATATTAATTTCCCTGGAAAGAATGCATAAGAGCTGAGCTTTATTTCTTACTGGAATCATAGAATCCCAAATTGGTTTGGGTGGGAAGGGACCTTAAGATTTACACTTCAGCACATCTTACATTAATTTCCCTGGAAAGAATGCATAAGAGCTGAGCTTTATTTCTTACTGGAATCATAGAATCCCAAATTGGTTTGGGTGGGAAGGGACCTTAAAGACCATCTCATTCCAACACTTGGGATTCTTTGAGGATTTTTTCCTCTACAATACCAAGTTCTCAAAGGTGAAGGTGTAACAGGAGCTCCAGCAGCTTTCCCTTATATTCCTTCTTCCTGTGACCTTTTATTAAAAAGCAGCTTTAGTAACATTTTCAAACACTTGGGAAATGCCTCCTCAAACACCATCTACTTGAAAAATCAAATCAGAAGCAAAAGATCAAATTAGGAAAGAGATCCCCTCATTATTGCATTCACCATCTGGTCCTTCCTCCTGCCTGCCAGAGGAACATCCCAAGGGTTTGTGCCAAGAGCTGTGCACTCCACTCCAGGAACAGCAGTTATTGGGGAAAACAACTCCCTGAATGTGCAAACACAAAATCCTGCAGGTCTGAAAGGCCCAGGAAGTGAACCTTGAGTGCTGACTTATATCTGCCACCCTCAAAAGTAGAAAAATCAGCTGCATATTGAGAAGTATAGATTCAATTCCCATTTCTAGACAATTTTTGCTTTTAAACTGCAGCTTCCTAAGAGAGCTGCTGTGCTGTTTCCAACCCAACAGCAAAGGCAGCCCTTTATTGAAATAATCCTGCAGAACAGATCACAGAACCACAAAATGGTTTGGGCTGGAAGGGATTCCAAAGCTCATCCCATTCCACCACTGCCACTGTCCCAGGCTGCTCCAAGCTCCATCCAGCCCAGCCTTGGACACTCACAGGGATCCAGAGGCAGCCAGAGCTTCTCTGGGCAACAGATGAGCTGGTACCTCTGCAGATATCAGAAAGTTGATGTGTAAATAGAAAACCAGCAGGCTCACCTTAAAGTCTTTTAAGTACACAAGATGGAAGAGAAAGCAAACTTTCTATTCTCAGGTTTATTTAAAAAAAAAATATTTCTGGTCTGAAAACCAGCAAAATGTGGATGTATCTTATTTCTCCTCTAAGTTCCTGCAACTCTGAATTCACAGGGCTCCATGGACCCTCTCCCAGCCCACCCTGGGATCACCTCACCCTCTTAGCTCAGCCAGCTGGTTCTGTGGGAAGAGATTTCCAACCTGCCTCGTGCTGCTGTTTGCAGTGAGGATGTGGCACTTGGGGAGATGCTTAGTGCAGGGGGAATGGCTGGGCTCCATCTGAGAGGGATTTTCCAGCCTAAATGGTTCTGTGATGTTCCTGTGGACACAGGAGCCAGGTGTCAGCTCCACTTACCCTGCACTGCTGCTCGTACTCGCTCCTCATCTGGGCCAGCCTCTCCTCCTGCAGGAAAAACTCTGCACTGGTGGGATCCAGGTCACCAAACTGCAACACAGGAGTGGAATATCCAGTTACCCACCCACCCCACAGCCCTGCTCAGGACAGCATGGATACCCTCCCAAGCAGCCCTGCACTCCCTTTCTCCACTCTGGATTTTTATTTTAAATAAAGAAACTCTGCTTTCCTCCTAGCAGGGAATGAGTAACTTCCCCAAAAAACCTGTCTGCCACCTAGCACAGCTCTCATGCTCATTCTGATTCCAGATCACAGCTTTCTACCTCAGCATATGCACATGTCAGTGTGGTGAAAAATCCCAAGCTTTAAAGAAGGCTGGAAATCCCAATTATGAAACCTAGGCTATGGCTGCACAAACTTAAACATCTTGGGAGAAGCTGATATTCTGAAAGTTTAATGTAATACAGCCATGAACAGCTGTTCACCTCCATTTTCACCTAATTCCAGCAGTGATGCCATGTAAAACCTCACTCCTCCTGCATCATCTTCCCTGAAAGGACCTGCAAGTTGGGCCCATCCAAAACTCTGTGCTGGGGGGGGAAAAAAAAAAAATCCCTGCAGATCTGCAGGATGATTGCTTCGTTCTAAAGCTCCCTGCTTTAGTTAGAATAAAATTACAGCTAAGGTGGAATATCTGTATTTTCCTTAGCTGGAAGGCAGTCCATGTCACCAAGGCAGGCTGTGCCTGGATAGAGACCCCAAAAGCATCTGGCTATCAGTTAAACTGGCAGCTGGAATGTAGCAACTTAATTATTTCATTCTGAAACCCCACTGGGAAAAGGGGGATTTACCTTCTCAGCCAGGACGTTTTCCAAGTTCCTCTGCAGTTTGCTTGCCAGACTTTCACACTCAGCCAGTTTTTCTCCTGTTTCCAGGAGCTCGTTTTCCAGGCGGCTGTTTTCCTGGGCCAAACAAAAAACCCCACGGCAGATCAGCACTTGGAGGAGGAAAAATCAGCACGTGTTAACTCATCAAAATAAGGGTCACTCCCAGTCCAGCATGACACTATTCCAAGCTTCAGGTGATGACAGGAATTATTATTATTCACACACAGCCCACTCCTGCCACAGCAAATGTGAACACTGGATTTTTGATAAATTATCAAAAGGCTTAACAGCAAGTTTGCTTTGGATGGTTTTTTTTTAAAAGAGGATTTAAAACTTGATCAAGATGTTTTACCTCCTGGCTTGACAGCTCATCTGAGAGCTGTGCACACACACACTCTGCACGTGATGGCAGCAGAGATGTGAAATCTCTGGAGGTTAGGAATCCACCAGACCCAGAGAAACCCACAGCTGACACCCTCACAAGGAGGAGGGTGACAAATACTGCTGGGGGTGAAGCTGGGTGGCCACCAAGCCCAGGAGGAGGGATGGGTGATGCCCACCTGAGGTTGTACTCGTTGCGGCGCTCGATGGCGGCGTGGTGATCGTCCACTTCCGAGGCCATCAGGGATTTCAGCTTCTCTGCCTTTTCCAGGTCCGACCGCAGCTTCTCCTTCTCCCTGGCCACCTGGTCAAACCTCTCCCTGGGCAGGGCAGAGCAGAGCCAGCCTGCATTAGGTCAGCCCCCACTGCTCCCCCAAAAAGGGGATTTGAAACATCAGAGAGGAAGCTTGGAAAGATCTCCAAGGGTCTCAACAACTGCATTTGATGTCACTGGATTTGAACCTGTACCCAAACAGCTCTGGACATGTCTTGGTGTCCCCACAGATCCTGAGACCTCAACACCTGAGACCCTCAGCTGTGGTCCAGCTCCCCAGCTCAAATCCTGAAATGGTTTGGGTTGGAAGGAGCCTTCAAGACCCTCTGATTCCAGCCTATGCCATGGCAGGGACACCTTCCACTGTCCCAGGCTGCTCCAAGCCCTGTCCAGACTGGCCTTGGACACTGCCAGGGATCCAGGGGCAGCCACAGCTGCTCTGGGAATTCTATTCCAGGACCTCCCCACCCCTCCCAGCCAGGAATTCCTTCCCAGTCTCCCATCCATCCCTGCCCTCTGGCAGTGAAGCCATTCCCTGTGTCTTGTCCCTCCATGCCTTGTCCCCAGTCCCTCTCCAGCTCTCCTGGAGCCCCTTCAGCACTGGAAGGGGCTTTGAGCTCTCCCTGGAGCCTTCTTTTTTCAATAGAGGAACCTGCACAGCGAGCCCAGCACGAAGTCAAACTGTGGTGACTTTCAAAGGGAAAACATTGGGATTTACAGTGGATTTGTGCCTCACCTCCACATCTATCACACGACAGAACCTCTGCAATGCCCCAAATCAGTTTGGATTAAAGGTACTGAACCTCCAGCAGCCTCTGCCCTGAGCTGTGCATTCCTTGGCCATCAATGACCACTGTGGACAGCAGTGACCACTCCCAGACTGGGAACAGCCTGCTGCCTTAATTTTTAATTTTTAACCACATTTTTCTGCAATCCTTGGAGGTTTCAGTGTTTTTCCCAGGCAAAACAAGGACAGCTGGAAGTCTGAGTGCTCCAACAGAGAACTGAGCCTTCCAGTGCCACCCCAGTGCCCCTGGGAGCACCACCATGCCCTCAGCTGCTCCTCCAGCTCCTGCTTGGCCGAGCAGAGCAGGGAGCAGCACCTCCAGCCATCCCTGTGACTCACATCAAGTGCCTGATCTCTGTTTTGAAGCTGGCCAGGGCTGCCTGGTGCACCCCATTCTTGGTGATCAGGAGCTCGTTCTCCAGCGCCAGCGTCAGCTCCGTCAGGTTCACCTTCCCATCCAAGCTGAAGTCCAGAGCCTGTGGAAACAACAAATCCTTTGAGTGGAATGAGCTTCCTGCAGGAGCCTGGAGACATTTCTGCAGGGATTGACAGGAGAGAACGAGCAGGCTCAGAAGAGATCTTTGCTGGCTAATTAATCTGTCACAAACGCCCCGAGGGCAATGAACCAGACATCTCTGCCAGCTCCCTCCAACAGAGCTGCTGCCAGCTGTGGAGAGGGGAAGTGTCCTGGTTGTGCTGCAAGACCAACAGGAAATTAAGGCCAGGACTGATGAATTGCACTGATTCCCTGCAGGATCTAACAAGACTGGACTCTGCAGGGATCAGCTGCTGCGAGGAGGTGGCTGGGGATGCTCGTGTCAAACAAAACCAGCTCTTGCAACAGAGGCAACACAGAGGCAGCACCAAATCCCCAGGTGAGAATCCCACCTCTCAGAAAGCAAGTTATCAGCAGCAGCTGCTTGGAATTTTGTAAAATCCCAGAATGGTTTGGGTTGGAAGGGACATTAAAGGTCATCCAGACCCCAGCCATGGGCAGGGAAACCTTCTACCATCCCAGGCTGCTCCAAGCCTTGAAGAAAGGCCTTTTCTTTCCCTGGAAGTGTTCAAAACCCATATGGATGTGGCACTTGGGGATGGGGGTCAGTGGTGAGCAAGGGTTGAGCTGACAGCTGGACTCTTCCAACCTAAATGATTTAACCTAACCCTGCAGGAGCACAAAGCAAGGCACTTGTGGTGGGGCTGAAACACTGCAGACACTGGAGAAACCAGCCCAGTGACACCAGTACAAAGCAATTTTCCAGTGGAAAGCAACAAAGTGAAGGTGGCCACACAAATCTGGTGAAGGTGGTCCCACCTTCTCAAACAGTGCAAGGTGATGAGTGAGTTTTAAATCCTGAGCCATGGCAGAGGCTATTCCAGCCTGGCTCTTCTCTACCCACATGGATATTTAAAATCCAGACGAATCAGTCATCTTGTTGGGAATCCAGTGATGGCCACATGAAATTATCTTCTCCCACCCACAGCTTCTAATGAGATGGACAGGGATGGATTTATTCAGGTACCTGATTTCATCCCCGTCACCCTTTTACTCTGTCTAATGGAACACTGAGGACTGGGCAGGGTTTCAAGTGCTGTCCTCCACCTCAGCACAAGCAATAATTCAGGTCACCCCAGTGCTGAGAGGTTTGCAGGTGCAGCTATTCAGGGAGGAAAAGGAATTAAATTGCTTCCTAACAAATGTAGGTGACCTCTTCAAGCTATGCTGGAAATCAGAGTGCATTTTTATCATTAAAAGTGATAAAACGGGATGCACCATAAAGGAAATTATTGGAAATTTCCCAAAACTCTTGTCACTAGCACTGGGAATTTTTCTAGAATTATAGAATGGTTTGGGTTGGAACAGACCTTAATGATCATCCAGTTCCACCCCATGCCATGGGCAGGGACACCTTCCACTAGTCCAGGCTGCTCCAAGCCGTGTCCAACTTGGCCTTGGACACTTCCAGGGATAGAACAACCACAGCTCCCCTGTGGGAAGTTTTAAAAGGGGAAAAACCAGGGACTTTGGAAAGGAAAAAAATAACTCAGCGTCCAACACAGGGAGAAAGAAATACACATAAAACCAGGGGTGGGATGCAGCTGGGGGTTACCTTCAGGATCTCCTGGCTGTTCTCTATGCCCTCCTGGTGCCAGCAGTCCAGGACCCCCTCCACACAGCCATAGCCCATCCCATCATCCAGGCTGGAGAAGAGGGAGAAGCCGATGGTGCTGGGCATGGCCGAGGGGGTGGTCGTGCGCCTGCCGCTCTCGTCGAAGGACTGCCAGAGAGGATGAGGATGATGAGGAGGGTGTGACAGGGCAAAGGCAGTGCCCACAGGGCTTTATCAATGGAATTTCCCTAGGCACTGCTCCAGAGATTAAGGATTAAGCTCTGTTTTTCCTCGCTGCCGAGCAAAACCCGGCGGGAGCGTCGCTGCCGACCTCACGGCACAAGCAGGCACTCGGGATTTAAAACAAATCCCGGGAGGAGCAGGGTTTCAGAGCTGGCCTCATTGCTCCAGAAGGGTTTTCCACTGTTCGTTTTTGGTTTGGAATGTCACTTTCCCTAAAACAGCTGCTGGGAGCATTTGTAGAGTGGTTTGGGTAGAGCCCTCAGCTTCCAGGCAAAGACAGAGAGCAGATTTCAAATGCTCGCTCAGAAAAAAAGCAAAAGTTGGAGTAGAGATGTGGGACCTGCATTCCCCCAGCCTATCCCAGGCAGTGCTTCCCCCTGCACCCAGTTTATACTGGATGCCCCATCCTGGAAGTGTTCCAGGCCAGGCTGGATGGACTTTGGAGCACCCTGGGATAGTGGAAGGTGCCCCTGCCCATGGCAGGGGGTTGGAATGAGCTTTAAGGTCCCTTCCAACACAAACCCCCCTGGAATTCTACAAGGCTCTACCACTGCTCTCCACAGGTTGCCAGAGCTCTCTCCAAGCCATAAAACTTCAAAGGGGAGCCGTGTCCCCTTTCCCATGAGGGTGTTCTGTGTTTTGTCTCCCCCAAAAGAGTTTTTTCTGAGCGAGAATTTGAAATCTGCTTTTGGAGCAGGGTATGCCACAGCTCAGTGCCACCAGCTCCTGCCTCACAGCTGCCCCTGCAGGGACAAACACTGAGGAAGAGGAGGAGACAGGCTGGGTGGGAACTGTTCAGGAATTCTCCTGCTCCTTTTACCCCAGGATTCACCTCTCACTTCCTCACCTGCATGGAGAGGTGGCGTTTCAGCTGCCGGTATGGAGTAGAGGCTGAAGGGGTGAGAGATTTCCCATTTCTAAACAGGCCATAAAAGAAATCCTCGATGCTCATGGTCCCATCTTGCTCCAGGTTATGGAGCACCTCTTCAAGCACCTGCAAGGAGACAGAAATCATGTAAAAGGGCAAAAGAATCTGGCACAGAGCAAACATTCTATTCCCAAGGCTCCAAAAAGAGCAAAGCGAGAGCTACCTGCTACATCAGCCCAGCACATTTCCATATTTTCCATGTGGAAAACTGCAGGCACACATACACCACGAAGAAAAGCTCCTGGTCATCTTGGAGCTGCTGTTTAATGAGGCAGCAGGAAAAAAAAAACCTCATTCCATTCTGCTCCTGAGCCAGTGTGACCTCAGGAATTCAGCTTGAGGTACTGAGACAGATGCCAAACCATGAGCAGCTGGAAGTGACCAGGCAAAAAATAACCCCTAAGACACTGCAAGGTTATCATAAATCTGTTTGATGCTTCAGGGCATGCTGCTTTCTCAAAAGTAGGACTGGAGATGTTCAGATTAGTCCCTCATTATTTCTTTGTCTACAGTTTATCTTTTCCATTTTCTGCCTTAATGCCCTGAAAACATTTCATTGTGGATGCTGCAAAGGAATACCTGGCTCAGGAACTTGTTTTGTGGAGGAAATTAATACAAGCCATGTTATCTTAAGATGCAAAAAAAATCTGACTTTTTTAATAAAACTAAATCCTAAGTTGACAAGACCTTTTTTTTTTGTTAAAGATTCCATTTTCTCGTGGGCTCTCACTGCAGGACAGAAACACCCACAGGCCTTCACAAAGCCAAAAGCAACCACCTATGAATATTTAACCCATATTTGCTGTCTAGCTAGAAAATTCCCAGGATTAAGGAGACATGCTTGGAATCCAAGCCACGCTTTTAAATTCCAGACCCCTCAGTGATTGCGTGAGGAGAGACGCACGCCACGGCTCAGCCTGGCAGTGCCTTCTCCTGCAGCAGCCTGATGGTCTGGGACCAAAAACCTCGCTGGAGAACCAGCAGCTGGAGCTGGAAACCCCTTTCCAAGCATCCACCTGTGCTTGTGGTGAAGCCCAGGAGGGATTTTGGGGGCCCACACTAAGCCCAGGCAGGGGCAGTGGTGAGGTGGGTCGCTCACCTCCCCGGCCGCCGCGTGCAGCCCGTGCTGCTCACAGATGGAAACCAGCTTCTTCCTGTTCAGGTGGCCGTCCCTGGTGATGCCCAGGTGCTCACAGACCTCCTGAAGCTTCTCCTCGATCCAGTCTGGGCTCGGTGAGGCACCAGGGGAGGCGTTCAGGTCGTCTGGGTTCCAGAAGCGCAGCTGTCCTGGAATGGGGGACATTGCTCCGGTGTCTGGAGTGAGGAGCAGATCTGGGGGTTCTGCACCCCACAGGGGAGCTGTGCTGCAGTGGGCAGAGCTCCTTCCCAGCTCTGCAGATCCCAAGGGATCACTTGTCTGGGTTCATCCTACTCAGAGCCCACTTTGGGTTTCAGGATGTGGACACTGGTCCCAGCAGTATCAGGCTCTGGCAGGAGGTTCTGCTCAGCATTTCACTCACTTTGCCACCAGGGGAAGGAGCCTCGTGGCCAGAGAATCATGGAATTGCTGAAAAAAACCTCTGGAACAAGTGCTGGAATTGTTGGGAAAAAACCTCCAAGGCCATGGAGTCCAACTGTTCCCCAGCACGGCCAAGGCCACCCCTCACCCTTGTCCCCAAGTGCCACATCCACACAGCTCTTCATTCCTCCAGGGATGGGCACTCCCATGCCTGACCAGGCACAGCAGCTGGGGCTGTGGCCAGGAGGATCTTTGGGAATGTGGATGAGTCTGATGGCCAACATGAGCTGGTGGCCAAGGAAGAGCAGCAGAGCTTCCTCAGCTGCTGGCATAGCTGGGAAAGGCACCCCTCCTCCTCCCCTGGGCTGTTATGGGATCAAGGGAGCTGCAAGGCCACCTCCTGGAGCTGGAAAAGCAGCTTTAGGAGAAAAAAAGCTGGCCTCTTTGGATGGGGAAGGAGTTAGAAAGCAGCTGAAATACGGGAGAGGTGCTGATGTAATTAAAAGGAAGTTTTTTGATGACGAAGATGGTAAAACACTGGCACAGGCTGCCCAGAGAAATTTCCCATCCCTGGAAGTGTCCAAGGCCAGGCTGGACAGGGCTTGGAGCACCCTGGGATGGTAGAAGGTGTCCCTGCCCATGGCAGGGGTGGGACTGGATGAGCTTTAAGTTCTCTTCCAAACCATTCCAGGAATGGGACTGGATGAGCTTTAAGTTCTCTTCCAAACCATTCCAGGAATTTATAACTCTGTGACAATTAGGGAACTTTTAATGACTGGTCCCTGCTGACATCTAGTGCCCACCAGGCTCCACTACAGCCAGAGCCCCCCGGGGCAGGAGTGGGGAGCAGGACAGGGCTCAGGGAGACAGGAACACCCACAGCAGGATGAAGAGGGCAGAGGGGGTACGGCACAAGATGTGCCCTACCTTAACTTTCATCCCCAGCTTGGGGGATGCCCCAGCTGCACCTCCCCAAGCTCTGGGATGCTCCACACACCCAGAGCCCCTCTCCACGTGCTCCTCTGATCCCTCCTCAAAGCTGAAATGAAACAAGCAACCCAGGTGCTGCTCTCTGCTCTTACCCTCGGCCTCGTACTCCTCGCTGCCTCGCGTCTTCCAGTGCTGCGGAGAAAACCAAAGGCTCCTGAGTTATTTATTGCAAGACATCCCCTGAATGAAAGAGACTCTGGGATCAGCAGCCAAGGAGCTGCAGGGCTCCAGCAAAGCTGCCAGGCTTTCATCTCCCTGCAGGCTGGGCTGGGAATCCAGGGCTCTTTGATCCTGCCTTGTTCTGGTGGCTCTCTGGTGGGGAGAACCCAGAGATGCCCAAAGCCCCAAAAATGACCCAGCAGAGGGGACAGATCAGAGCTTGGCAGTGTGCTGGGGATCAAGGGAGAGGTTTGCCCTCTGAGCAAACCGTGCTGCTTTTCTTTGAGGTGTTGATGGCTGAGGGGATGGGGATGCAGGGAAGATCATAGAGCTGGGTTATCCCTGGCCCCACACTCAGCCAAGCCAAATTCAAACCTCCTCCACCAAGTGCAGCTCTGTATCAGGAGAGAGCTATGCTGTCAACAAGCCTTTCACTGAGCTTAACAGAGGATAAAAAACCCACTCTATGGTGGTCTTAAACCACCCTGCTCCCTCTGGCATCATCCCATCAGCTCAGGCAGCACCCCAGGAGCACAAGTACAGCATTTAAGGTGATTTCCTCATGTACTACACGTTGTCTCATCCCTGCCACCCTTGTAGCAGCCCAGGGTATTTACTCCCACGTGATGCTCCACAACATCAACTTGTGGTTTAGCAGTGGCAGATGTTGCTCCTGCAGTGGTACAAGTGGATACTCCTGCCTGCACGTGATTGATGGATTTGGAGTCAAAGTCAGCCAGGACATAAAGAGGCTCTAAAGCATCACAGAAAAGTTCAATACGTCTCATTCAGATTACAGCTAAAAGCCATTAATCTACAACGTTGCCATGGAAACTGAATTAAGTCACTGGACTTTTTTTAGCTCTGCTGCTGTTCCCGTTTCAGCTGCAGGACCAGGCAAGGGCCCTTTGCTGCCACAGCATCACAATGTCCCACGAGGGACAAAAGCAGGAGCTGAGGCAACAAGTGCCACTAAATCCCATCCCTGGAAGTTCTTTATAAAGACAACAGCAGAAGCCTGGCACAGGGTGCCCAGAGCAGCTGGATCCCTGGAAGTGTCCAAGGCCAGGCTGGATGGGGCTTGGAGCAGCCTGGGATGGTGGAAGGTGTCCCTGCCCATGGCAGGGGGTGGAACTGGATGGGCTTTAAGGATCCTTCCAACCCAAACCATTCTGGGATTCCATGAAATTGCCATCTGAAAATGCAGAAAACTTTGTGCAGAGAGAGGGTTGGCTTGGGTGCCAGAGATATCCCCCTGCAGCCACCCATCCTCATCCTTGGGGACAGCTGGGACACTGAGGGGAGCCTGGCAGTGATGCAGAAGGCAAATCCTCTGTGTCCAAGTCTTTGTGCACAAGCAACATGCACACTTTTATATAGAATCAGGTTAATCAAGCACCAGACCCCCTCACTTCAAGCACTTTCAGCAAAGCCACACAAGCTGCTGCTGTCCCATCCCTGGAAGCATCCAAAGCCAGGTTGGACAGGGCTTGGAGCAGCCTGGGATGGTGGAAGGTGTCCCTGCCATGCCAGGGGGTGGGATGGCATGAGCTTTAAGCTCCCCTCCCAACCCAAACCACTCTGGGATTCTGTGAAACCACAACAACTCCATCAACCCCAACAGCCCAAAGAGGCTGAACAAACCCAGGGGGGTTTCGGCTGGCAGCCCCGGGGTGCTCGTGCGACCTCCCCTCCCTCCCTCCCCTTTGTGCGCTGGGGGCTCGGGGTCAGCCACCACCGGGAGGGGACAAAGAGGGTGGCACATCCCCATGTCAGGCCCTCATTGTCCCCTAGCCCCGGCAGGGCTACAGCTGGCCCGGGTCAGAGGCAGGGGACGGCAGGAATGCGTTGTCCCTGGGGAGGCGCGTGCGGAGCAGATGGCTCTGAATGCATCTGCAGCCTGTGCTCTGCCCAGAATGAGGCAGCAGCCACCTCTCTCTCCCCCCCTGCCATCTGCTCCAGCCAGCCAGACCTTTGTTCTCCCCTGGAATATATTGCTAATTAAAATGATGATCAGCAGCACATGCCACGAGGTGAGCCCTCGCCCCAGTGCTGATGGATTTTGTTCTTCCCAGATCCACACTGCAGCTCCCTGGGCTGCCTGAGCAGAGAACCCCAAAAAAAAAGCTGTCAAATCCCCACACCCTGCTTTGCCAGGTGCCCTCAGCTCCAAAGCACCAGTCACACCTGGTGTGTGCAATGCAATGAAAAAGCAATGCACTTTTTCTGGCAGCAGGCACTACCATGACCTGTTTAATCACAAATCCTGGCTTTCCAGTGCTGATGGATTTTGTTCTTTCCAGATCCACGCTGCAGCTCCCTGGGCTGAGCAGACACCCCCAAAAAAAAGCTGTCAAATCCCCACACCTCGCTTTGCCAGGTGCCCTCAGCTCCAAAGCACCAGTCACACCAGCAATGCACTTTTCCTGGGAGCAGGCACTATCCTGAGCTGTTAAATCACAAATCCTGGCTTTCCAGGACAGTCCCACTTTGGGAGTCTCACACTGAGGACCCAAAAGCAGGAGTTTCAACCCGAGCCTCCCAATGCCAGGAAACAATCCATAAACACACAGAGCACGGGAGCAAGTGGCACTGAAGGGACAGAACTGGGATGTGCCAGCAGATTCTAAAACCTCAAAGCCAGGGCTTGGAGCCACCTGGACCAGTGGAAACTGTCCCTGCCCATGGTGGAAGGTTGGAATGAGATGGGTTTTAGGGTCCTTTCCAACCCAAACCATTCTGAACCTGCAAGCAGGAGGGACCTCTCCCAGAGCAGAGCCAACAGCTGGGGAAGGGGAGGTGATGGATGCTCCCCAGTGAGGCTTGGAATCAGCACAGCCAGCACCCATGGGGACAAGCTCCTGCAGGTCAGAGGGACCCTCAGGAACCCACCATCACCCCCTACTCACAGCAGGGTTAGTGCCAAATCCAGACCCAGCAGCTCATTACCTTATCCCGCAGCACCTGAAACCCCCGGGGGATGGAGGTGGAGCCTCCCTGGGCAGCCGGCCCCAGAGCAGCCTTCCAGCCGTGTTTACCAGGGAGGGAGGGAGGGAAGGAAACTCTCAGACACAGCCTGAGCCCTTCTAATTGGCACTGCTTGGGAGCAAGCACCAATTAAGCCACGCTGCCCCAGTTCTCAGGCCAGGCAGAGCCCGGAACGCCGGCGTGTTTGTACACACAACAGCAGAGAGCTGGGCAAGGGCTGCTCCCTGGCCACATCCCAAGGAATCAGGGCACCAGGGACCCCTCAACACCTTCCAGCAAGTCATTCCCACGCATACCAAGAGGATCTGCTTTGGAGGTGCTGACAAAAAAGGGATTTCACAAGTTTAGCCTGACTTTTGCTCCACTTGCAAAGGAATTAACCATCCCAGCAGCCCAAAAGGTGCAACAAGCATTCCCAGCAGGAGACTGATCCAGCCCCCACAGCACAGCGTGGCTCACACCAGCTGGGTTCATTAACTGACCTTGTTAATGGACTACCCTTCTACACCTCCGTGACAGCTAAAACCAAGGGGTAAGATTAGAGCAGCCTCTTCCACCAAGGACATCGCTTCCCTGGGGAGTGTGGGCGGATTAACATCGATTCCAAGGTCAGGGCAGCCCATGTGGTCAACGCCAGGAGATGGATGAGCATCCCTGTGGTGCTGAGCAAAGGTCACCAGGAGCAGGGAAAAGCAGCTGGGAGTGGTGGAAAAGCTTTTCTTTGAGGTGTTGCTTTGGTGGTTTTTTATCATTTTTAAGCTCAGCTGCATAGGAATAACCCTGAAACCATGGGAATTGGAAACTCCCTCCTTGCTTTCTCACACAGGGCTGGGTGTCTCCCTGCAACAGAGCTGCAGAGGCTCCCAAGTCCAAGTGAAGCCACGAGACAGGGGAGGGAGAAAGCAGCAGTGCTTCTCCTTCCCAGTGGAAAAACTGCCACCACATGCTCCTGAATCAACAATACTTGGCACAGCAGGGCAGGCTGGAAGCAGCCCAGCTCCAGGGAGATGCTGTTGTGGCTGTGCTCTAACACAGCACCAATTCCAACCACTCGGCTCCTTTGGCTTTCCTGTCTGGGGAAGCAAGAGGAGCTTCTGGGATTGAAAGCACTGGCACAAAGAGAGCCACAGATCTGGAGCACAAAACCAGGAATGGGGATTTTTTCCAGCAATTAGATGCCACTGACCCAAAGCAGCTGCTGGCTGTGGGGCTCTGCTCCCACCACCCCTTTTCCCCATCCCTTCTGCTGGAGCCACGGCAAGATTTTGGCAGCTGCACTAATGGATGTGGACGTGCTCCGTCTGCTCCCAGCCCACACCTCGTTAGCCACGGAGGCAGCAGCTCAGCCCTTAATTGCTGGCCCACACTCCAGCCAGGAGCACCGGCCCAGCTCCTTCCCCACTTCCCACGGCACATGGAGCAAGGGAGCCACGCCTGGCATGGCTCATCCCTGGGGACAGGCAAGGAGAGCGGCCAGTAAAGGCACTGGGACATCCCAACCCCCTTTGGATGAGGGCAGCAGCCACGTCCAGAGGTGACAATGCCACCCCAGCACCCATCCTAGGAGAGCGGCCAACGCCTCTGCTGGGAAGGCTCCAAGCGCATCCCAACCCCTCTGGATGTGGGGAGCAGCGATGCCCAGAGGTGACAAGGCCTCCCCAAGACCCACCCCTCCCTGCTGACCTCCTGGCTGGCAGCAATGTGAGCAGGATGTGGCTCCTCGCTCAGCGGCTCGATGACCGTCACCTCGGCAAAGTCCTCCACCGACTCCTGGAACTCCGGCAGGGAGCGGCGCCCGTAGCGTTTGCCGCCTTTGATGTACTTGGGCTGTGCTTCTGGGGAGGAATCTGGGGAATCCAAGCACAAAACACATCAGGAATGTGATTGCTGAGCTCCCTCAGGGATGGTTTGTTCCTTCAGCAGAATTTTGAGCGCCCAGTTGCCGCCACCATTCCTGGTGGGCAAGCGCCAACGGCGGCTCCGTGCCTGGATCATCACCGCCCTCACCCTGGCTCTGATGGTTAGAATTGGTGCTGCTACCTGCCAAAAAAAGCTGTCACAAGGTGGAATCTTCCTCTTCCTCGCCCTTCCCCAACTCCCAGCTCAAGTTAACAGGATGGGGAGGAGAAAACCACCTCAACCTCGCCAGGAGCTTTGGATGGAAAGTCCATTAGGCCTCTCGTCCTTGCAGTCATCTCCATTAGCAGCACCAGGCAGGTTTAATTAGGGACAGAGTTGCACTGAGGCAGCTCAAGTCTCCAGATCTTGCAGACACCTGGGCGGCTGCTGCTGCTTTCCAGGGGTTTGAGTTTCAGCTCCATTAAAAATGCCCAAACAAGCGGGAGAGTGGAAAAAAATCGGGCAAGTTTGGAGCCTCTCGGGGGCCGACGGGAGCAGCTGAGCCCAGCTCAGACGGTGGGGCAGGTCCCAGCCTGTGCTGAGCAGCCAAAGCCAACTGCAAGATCTAAATAACCCTTTGGAGTCGTCATCTAATTACAGGGGCTCCACATTCCCCAGCTCCAGCTTCCCCCAGCAAGCTCCTGCCTTTGGGGACTGAATTATCCGGGAGCGCTGGCAGGCGAGGATCAAAACAAAAAAAATAAATAAGCACGTTTTGGGCTGTTTTCAGTGAGAATCTGGAGCAGGGGGCAAATTAAACCAAGGACCAAATTAGCCAGGGATTCAATTAGGGGAAGGCTCCGTGCCACGCTTTGTTTCAGTGTTTGCTAACCTGACTGCTGAAACCCCCCCAGGACTCCATCATCTTTTATTTTCCGCCACTCGCAGTGGCAAGAGCAGCAGCTTTTGAAAATTTTATTTGCAGAGGGCCCTGATATAAAAGAAATGCAGGAGTGCAATACTAATAAGGCCCAGGGAAGCTGTTCCACCACTGACAAAGGACACACGGCAAGCAGCAGGTCTCCAAACCCCCTTACCCAAATGCCTCCTCGGATAATATTCCTTTAGATATGGAAGAAAAGGCTTCAAGCTTGTTAGAGGGGGAAAAAAAATATATATCCCACAACTTAGCTATGCAATGAATTATAAAATACACAGGCTGAGGAGTGCTTTGATTCCTGCAGCCCCACACTCCATCCAGCCTCGGCGCAGCTCTAGGGAACAAACCCGGCGCCCGTGTTTGAACAAGGCCATTCTAACAAGATTTGCTGCAGCTGGGACTCAGCACATGAAAGTTGGGCTGATGGAGTGCACCGATAGAAAAATCAGGAGGAGACAGGCTGATTAAGGAAGAGCCCCAGAACAAAAGCAAACCTTATCACTCCTATTAAAGCCCGCCCGGTGGTGAACAATCTCCATCCAGCAGCTCTCTCTGAAATGCTAATATTTGAGGCTACTCATTCACCCTGTTATTTCCTCCCTCCCCAACAAGAGAGGGCTGGGGGCTTTGTTTTTCTTCAGAAATCATTTTTATTATTCCTAAGACAGAGCCGTACCTCCGTCTGTCTTTGGAGAGATGGAGGAGGGGGAAGAAGCTGGAATTTAGCAATAGCGAAGCTACAGCTGAATTTCCCTCTGGATTTCCCCAAGAATCCTGTTCCCAACCCCGCCACACTGACTGTGCTCACCCCACTGCTGCAGCTGGAAATTTGGTCTAGTGGAAGGTGCTCCTGCTCGTTTCAGGGGGTGGAATGAGATGGTTTTCAAAGTCCCTTCCAAGCCAAACTGCTCTGTGACCCTCAGGGACACAAGTGCCACCACGCCGTGCCCCTGTGAGCACGGCAAAGGGAACAACAGGAGCCTCTCCCCACGCTGTGCTTTAAGCATTTGCAGGCTGGCAGCTGATTTCTCTCTTCTCTTGGCTCTCAGCACCACGGGTGAGCTTGTTTGCCTTTTGTAATTAAAAAACTGTGAAGCCCTGAGAACATCCCTGGGAGGGAAAGGTGACCCTCCACAGCTTGAGGAGAACAAAGTTTGCCCCAGCTTCCAAACCAGCTGTGCCTGAGCCCAGCTGCTGAGGGGATCCCAGCCCAGGCTGAACCCTGAAATCCCATTTCCAGAGCCAGGGTGCTTTTGTTAACACTGGATTCCAGCTTTTCCTTTATCACATCCTGCAGCCCCATCCCTGGAAGCACAAATCCCTCTCCTTTCCAGCACCATCACCTCTCAGCCAGGTGGTGAGACACACCTGCAGCATCCTCTAAGCCCCTCCATCTCCTGCTTTCCCACCCCAAGCCCCCCAGCAGAGCAGCTGGTGCCCTTGATGTTCCCACCAATTCCCAATATTTAGGGAATGCTGAACACACACACAAAAGCAAAAAGCAGCCATCCACGCTTCCTGAATGCAGGAAACTCACTGATGAGCTGAGCAGGTTCTCATTCCCAGCCAAAACTGAGGAGGAAGGGTTGGGCAATCATTCAGGTGGGAAAAGAATCATTAAGGTCATCAAGTCCAGCCTCAGAGCTGCTCAAGCCCCTGTGCTTGCAGGGGCACAGGAGGAGCATGAAGGAGATGTCAAAATCAAGCCTTTCACTGCAGCACATGCCCACAAAACAGCCCTGTGTGCTGATCATCCCCAAAAATGCCAAACATCCCCCTGAGCAGGGCACAGGATGCTCTGCTGCCCACTCCTCCCACCAAGAGCAGGGGGAGATGCTGCTGCTCACACCCCCAACTATTGTGTGGCTGAAAAATCACCAGGAAAGGGGGGAAAAAGAGAAAAATAAAATAGGCTGAGCCCTCCCTGCTCCCTACAGCCCTTGGCAAAGAGTGGGCTTAGTAAAACCCACTGCAGAGCTGGTGTCCAATTAGACACTGGGGTCCAATAAAATAGACTGGCCCTGTGTCACTCTGATTTTACCAGAGGAGCCTGAGGAAGAGCAGGCTGAGCAGCAGATGTGGCCGGGCTCCTGTGCTGCACAGCAGCATTGCAAATGCACATCAGCAGCACAGGACAGGCACGGGGGGCTCCCCAAAGCCCTCCTCACTCTGCAGGTGGAGTCACAGCTGGCAGAGGGGGGAGGTTTGTCCTCAAGGTGGGCCAGAGGTTTTTCCAACACCAGCTGAGCAGCAAAACCAGCCTGTGGTGCACCTCTGACCTTGGATGTGGCGTGTCTGCAGGCAGAGAGGGCTCAGAGAGTCAGAGAAACAGCACTGATAAAAGCAGAGCTGGGCTGGAGCACGAGCCAGGCAAGGCAGCCACGGCACAGCAAAGCCACAAAGGCTGCAGAAATCCTCCTGCAAGGGAGGGCAGGCCCTGGCACAGGTTCCCCATCCCTGCAGGTGCCCAAGGCCAGGCTGGATGGGCTTGGAGCAGCCTGGGGAAGTGGAAGGTGTTCCTGCCATGGCAGGGGTAGAACAAGATGGGCTTTAAGGTCCCTTCCAACCCAAACCATTCTCTGATTTTATGATTGTGTTTTGGTGTTGCTCATCTGTGTGTCTGCTCATGGGGGTCTCTCAGCAATTTGGGGCTGATCCCAGCCAGCCAGAAGGCAATGGGCGTTGGGCAGGTGATGCACAATGTGCTGTCATGCCCACCCAGGATCAGGGACAGCACACACATTCCTGGCTGGCAGGGTGGGCAGGCCCTGGCACAGGCTGCCCAGAGACACACACAAAAGCAAAAAGCAGCCATCCACACTTCCTGAATACAGGAAACTCACTGATGAGCTGAGCAGGTTCTCATTCCCAGCCAAAACTGAGGAGGAAGGGTTGGGCAATCATTCAGGTGGGAAAAGAATCATTAAGGTCATCAAGTCCAGCCTCAGAGCTGCTCAAGCCCCTGTGCTTGCAGGGGCACAGGAGGAGCATGAAGGAGATGTCAAAATCAAGCCTTTCACTGAAGCAGGTGCCCACAAAACAGCCCTGTGTGCTGATCATCCCCAAAAATGCCAAACATCCCCCTGAGCAGGGCACAGGATGCTCTGCTGCCTACTCCTCCCACCAAGAGCAGGGGGAGATGCTGCTGCTCACACCCCCACTATTGTGTGGCTGAAAAATCACCAGGAAAGGGGGGAAAAAGAGAAAAATAAAATGGGTTGAGCCCTCCCTGCTCCCTACAGCCCCTGGCAAAGAGTGGGCTTAGTAAAACCCACTGCAGAGCTGGTGTCCAATTAGACACTGGGGTCTGATCTGCACCCCTGAACTGCCCCCAGGCTGGGGGCAAGAGGAGGAGGCTGAGACAAGAAGCCTCTCACCTTCCTGCCCACTGCCCAGAGGGTTTGTGTCCCTCCAAGTGCCCCTGGAATGAAACACCCCCCCCCCCAATTCTGCATTTCACGAGAGCTCCCTGATTTAAGCGCCACAGACAGGAGCCATCAATTCCCTCTCTCACTCCCCCCATCCATCCCACTGAAATGTCTCCATGGCTGGAGATTTACACTTGATTTTCTGCCTTTCTGCACCAGATAAGTCATTTCAAAATCCTGCTCTGCCCTCAGATGGGGAGGGAGGGGGGCTCCCCTTCCCTGGGCCAGGCATCAAAGCCCTGCAGCGCAGACAAAAGGGGGTTTAGAGCAGGAGCACCCTCATCCCACAATCCCAGCCTTCAGAGGTGAAATTAATTTCTCTGCTGCTTAAGATTTGGAAGGGAGGGATGCTCCAACTGCTGGGCAAAGCACATGGCAGCCAGGATCTGCTAAATCCTAATCCCCTGAGGCACCAGGTATGTCTGAACCCCTCCAAGTCCTATTTCATCATTCAGCCTCAGCAGTGGGAGAAGAGAGGAGTCATGGCAGGGTCACCACAATCCAAAACCAACGTGTTTTGACCCAAAAATCATCAAAAAGCATCAGCCACCCCTGCCTGGGCTGTGACACTGGTTTTACCCAGTGCTGCAGCCACCTGAACAACCTTTCCCCCAGGGATGGGGTCCTTCCAAAGGGCATCATCCCCACCAGCCCCTTCTTTTAGAGGGCATTTCTGCTGTCTCCAGGAGGAGAAGGAAAAAAATGGGGAAGGAAAAACCCCAAAACCCTCGTGACTGTGGGGAGGATGGCGTCAAACTGCTCTTTAATTTCTCCTGGGTGTCCCTGTAATCCTGCACTCCACCCCATAATCCCTCCCTAGCCCAGCCTCCATGCACTTTTTATTTGCTATAATGGGGAGGAAAAAAAAGCCTGATTTTTTTTCTTCCCTAATCACCCACACAACTGATTTTTTTTTCCCCCCCTTTCCCCACCCTTAAATCTATTTTATTGTCCCCTCACTGCTGCAGTGACCCGTGCACAAAGAGCAGCAGTGGCAGCAGCACCAAGAATCAAGAGCTAAAATAGTGATTATTTTAAACCACACTCAAGCTTTTTTTCTGCTTTTCCTGGAATCTCCCCACCCCTGTTCCCAGCAGAGGCAGGCTTTGCCCAGCCAGCTGATGCTCTGGTTCACAGCTGGGTCTGTGTCCCCACTCTGACACCCTGGAGGGGACAGAGCTGATCACAGCAGCTCTGGAACTCTGCCTTGCTTCCCAGGGCTGCCTCCCAGGCAAGGAGCCTGCAGCACCATCCTCCCTGCCAGTCTTACCTTTGCAAAGGGGAATTCAGCCTCTTTGCCAAGACAAAGAAAATAAAATGTAAATACATCAGCTGCTCTCTGCAAGCCTGAGCGCTTCTCCCACCTCCCTGTCCTCCCGAAAGGGGGAAACCCCAGTGGCTGCTTCTGCAGGAACTGCAGCACTTCTGCTTCCTTGTCCCCAGCCCCTGTCACAGAACCAGTTTGGGTGGAAGGGACCTTGAAAATCATCTCCTTCCACAGGCAGGGACACCTCCCACTGTCCCAGGTTGCTCCAAGCCCTGTCCAGCCTGGCCTTGGGCACTGCCAGGGATCCAGGGGCAGCCACAGCTGCTCTGGGAATTCTATTCCAGGGCCTCCCAGAGAGAAATTCCTTCCCAAAATCCCATCCATCCCTGCCCTCTGGCAGTTCAAAGCCACTTCCCCCTTGTGCTGTCACTCCAGGCCCTTGTGGATAATCCCTTTCCCTGTTTCTTTTGGGCTCCCTTCAGGTACTGGAAAAGGCTGCAAGGCGTCCCCAAAGCTTCTCTTCTCCATCCTGAACAACCCCAAATCTCTGGGCAGCACAGGGGCTGCATCCCTCTGTGCTCCAAGTCCTTCCTGTCACCCTCGCTGTGCCCAGCCCTCCTCGCTGAGCTGACAGCATCCACGGGGACAAGGACATGCCACCCCCTTGGCTGTGTCCCACAGCTCTCTGGGCTGCAGCACAAAGCTCCAGCGCTGCCCTCTGACCCTCCCATCACCCAAATCCCTGGAGAAAACCACCACAGTCACTTCCTTCCAGAGCAAACTTCCCAGATGCTGCAAACGGCCTTAAAATCTCTGCTTCTCCCCCCTCCAATCCCCCCTCAAATTAAATTTTCATTTAAATGATACGATTTAGAGCTCTTAACTCAATTTTTCCCTAGCCTGGGGCAGGCTGGAACACCAGCATTTCCACACTCCCTGACAGTTTGACACCAACAGCACAAAGCAGCTTGTTCTCCAAATCTCCAGTTTGATCTAAATTAAAAGAAGCAAAGACTTTGGCATTAACCAACCTGTCAAAATGCATTAAAAATAAAATGCCTCCCAGGCCTGCCTGGCTCTGGCTCCCTACCTGCACCCCACACCCTTTGATTCCCTGCCATTCCAACCCCACTGTGACAAGAGTGTCCCCAAGGAGAGCTCTCCAGCTTCACTTGTAATTTCCCCTGTGCTAACCCCAAATTTAGCCATTTCTGGAAGATTTATTTACATTTCAATCAAGCTGGAGCTTCTCAGCCATATGATACCCCACTAAATGCAGAATGCTGGATTAGTTCTGCCTCACTGGGGCTGATTCCTGCTCTGTGCCAGCTCCTTCCCAAGGGGCTGGCAGGGCTGCTCCCCCCGAGCACCCACCCACCTGCACTTGGAAATTCCATTAAGGAATGCCAGGCACAAGAGCTGCCATCACCCCTCTCACAGCACTGAAGAGCTTTGGAGATGAGAGGTGGAAAATAAAAATAATCCATCAATCACACCTCTCCAACCCTGTGGTTTGTGCAGCCTTAATGAAAGGGGAAAGTTGTAATTTTGCTGGCAGGCTCCTCTCCCCAGAGTGGGATGCTCCAGCTGAGACTGATGCTCCAGGAGAGGAAACCTGGAGAATTCTCTGTCCCCCTTTGCTAAGCTGTTTTCTCCTTGGGGGATTTGGCTCCCCTGCTGCTCCAAGGACAGGATTAGGGATTTATTTACATACAGGTGTGGCACCAGCTGGAGCTGCAGGGGCTCAGCCCCAAGCACGGCCCCACAGCTCCCAGGCCCTGCTGCAGGGGGAAAACACTCAGGCTGAAACCTTTCCTGCCAAGGAAAGCCTAAAAAAGCCCCATTTTCAAGGCACACTGAAACAAAGCAAGGAAAACACTGAGGACTCTCAGCAGAGCCCCTGGCAGTGCCCAAGGCCAGGGGCTGGATGGCACCTGGAGCAGCCTGGCACAGTGGAAGGTGTCCCTGCCATGGCAGGGGATGGTGGCACTGGTCACTTCCCACTCAAACCATCCTGGAATTCTCTGCCCAGCCCGGTTTTTCAGGGGCTTCACTTGCTCAGGAACACCTCTGGAGCAGCCTGACTGTTTTTCCTGGGAGAAATCCAGAGAAGCTTCCTACACCCTGCTCATCTCAGGCACAATGAAACTTAAAAAGAATGGACTTAAAAAACACAAAATCCAACACCAGCCCCAGCTGGGAAAAGCCCCAGCAGCAGGAATTCAGCCATTTGTCTGCCTGGCCACAGCTCTCTGCTCCTGAAGCATCCCTGGCCAGCAGAGTGGTGTGGGATGGAGAGAGCTGAGCCCCTGTGCCAGCCATGAGCCATCCTGAGCATCTGGAGGGGGCTGCAGCTGCCTGCTCACAGCCATCCTGGGCATCCAGACCATGGGAATGGCAGAGAAATCCCCAATGGCTCTGAAAACACCCGTGTGCAAGGCTCCACAACAAACCTTGGCTCCCTTTTTGTAAAGGTTCCATTTCTCACCCTTCACCAAAACCAATAAAAAAAATAACATCTTTTATTTTTATAAATAAAAATAAAATAAAAAAACTAAATAATAAAAAATATAATATATTATAAAATAGAATGTGTTACATTATATATAATATTAAAATAATTAAATAATAAAATATAAATAATAAATTAGACTATAAATACATTAATATAAATAAAATAATTTTTATAAATCTTATCTTTAAACCTCTCAATTACCCCATCTCTATAAAAATAAAAAAAACCCCAAACCAACACCTTTTCTCCCAAGATCAGCCTTTTCTGCATGCATGGCACTACCCAAAAAACACTTTCTCTTCTAAGTTCTTCTGTGAGAGCCACCCACAGCTGCTCTGCCAATGAAAATACACCAGTTCAGCTAATTTCAGTATTTACCTGGTTCTTGGAAGTGCTCCTCATTTGACAGGGTTCTGGATAAGATGAGGATAAGTGCTTCTTTAAACTGATCAAAGTGGACCTGTGGGAAAAAAGAATAAGAAAAAAAAAGGAAGGAAAGAGGCAATCAGGTGGTGCAGGGAGTTAAATATGAGGCCAAAATGCAGCAGGAAGATGGGCAGCAGTGAGATCACTCCTCACCACCCTGGCACAGAGGAGCCCTGGAGAAGTGACAGCAAGGGACACGCAGACACAGCCAGCACCTCTGGGCACGTGGCAACAATTATTGCCACCCAGAAGGACCCAAAGGCACGGATCTCGGGCACTGGTTGGGTTTTTCCATGGAGCAGGAACATAAGGAACATGTCCAAAGGAGCAGGGACACCTCCAGCCCTTGAGGTGACCTGGCCAGGGTCAGTGGCTTCCACGATGACACCATTCCTGAGCAGGGATGAATATTCTGCTGTGGAAATGCTCCACTGCCCTAACTTAGCTTCAAAAACCACTTCCCAAGGTGGATGGCAGAAAAATCCCTCCCTTTCCAGGGCAGCTCCTGTAGTTCTGGGAGGGCTGAACTAGGAACACCAAGCCTGGAGTGAAGCTGGGGAAAACAGAGATGTTCCTGCCACTGAGGGGGGGTTTTTTCCTCTTTTTCTTTTTCCATCTGTGCCTTCCTGGAAAGCCTCCTGCCTGCCAGAAGGGGCTGCAGCATCCTCGCCAGCCTGCTGGGGAATGTCAGCAATTCCAGCCCGGGGGACACCAGAGCCAGGGACAGCTGGAGGAGCTATGTGACAAGGGGCAGTGGCCAGGCAGAGCTGGCTGCTGCCATTTCTCTTGGCTAAATAAATCTTAGAAGAATTTTTAGCATGGAACAGAAAGATTTTGTATTTAAAGAAACCCAGCGAGGCTGCTCTGGCTGGCAGGGCTGCACTCTGAGGGATTTCCATGCTGCTGGGGGAGGCACAAGCAGCAGAGTTCAAATCTGAAGTTCTCCAACTTGTTTTTGGGGGTCAAGCAAGCTCAGAAAAATACCAACAAGCTCCCTGGTAGGGAGGGGACAGAGGTGAGCCATGGAGGTACAGGGGAGCACCTCATGCCACAGCTCAGGCAGTGCCGATCACCCCTGAGGCTTTAAACAGTTTTAAACATGTTTTTTAAACACAATTAAAAAAACATTTTCAGCACAGAAGCTCATCAGGAATGCCTTCATCTGAATACTAATTGCTGCCATCCATTTGCAGACACTGGTGTACTTCAAAAAGGCCAGTTCACAGAGAGAGGAGAATTTCCCCCATTAAAAAAAAAAGAAAAAACTTGACATTTAGACTAAATGAGGATGAATAAAAGATGAGGGTGTTCAGATTACAGGTTCCCTCCCCATGGGATCATCTCAGGAATAAATGGGCAGAGCCAATCCCCTGGATGGGTGCTGGGGCTGGCACCTCACAAGAAAACAAGATCCACTTTGCATCCCTCACACAAACACAGAGGATTAAATAAAGCCAAACCACCCGGGCAGGTGTGCAGCAGCACTGACATCACCTGCTCTGCATAATGAGCCCCATAACTCCTGCCTGCACTAATGAGGAGGAGGAAGGAGGAGGAGCTGAGCCCTTGCTCAGCTGCACAAGGACAGAGGCAGCCATCCACGCTTCCTGAATGCAGGAAACTCACTGATGAGCTGAGCAGGTTCTCATTCCCAGCCAAAACTGAGGAGGAAGGGTTGGGCAATCATTCAGGTGGGAAAAGAATCATTAAGGTCATCAAGTCCAGCCTCAGAGCTGCTCAAGCCCCTGTGCTTGCAGGGGCACAGGAGGAGCATGAAGGAGATGTCAAAATCAAGCCTTTCACTGCAGCACATGCCCACAAAACAGCCCTGTGTGCTGATCATCCCCAAAAATGCCAAACATCCCCCTGAGCAGGGCACAGGATGCTCTGCTGCCCACTCCTCCCACCAAGAGCAGGGGGAGATGCTGCTGCTCACACCCCCAACTATTGTGTGGCTGACAAATCACCAGGAAAGGGGGGAAAAAAAGAAAAATAAAATAGGCTGAGCCCACCCTGCTCCCTACAGCCCTTGGCAAAGAGTGGGCTTAGTAAAACCCACTGCAGAGCTGGTGTCCAATTAGACACTGGGGTCCAATAAAATAGACTGGCCCTGTGTCACTCTGATTTTACCAGAGGAGCCTGAGGAAGAGCAGGCTGAGCAGCAGATGTGGCCGGGCTCCTGTGCTGCACAGCAGCATTGCAAATGCACATCAGCAGCACAGGACAGGCACGGGGGGCTCCCCAAAGCCCTCCTCACTCTGCAGGTGGAGTCACAGCTGGCAGAGGGGGGAGGTTTGTCCTCAAGGTGGGCCAGAGGTTTTTCCAACACCAGCTGAGCAGCAAAACCAGCCTGTGGTGCACCTCTGACCTTGGATGTGGCGTGTCTGCAGGCAGAGAGGGCTCAGAGAGTCAGAGAAACAGCACTGATAAAAGCAGAGCCGGGCTGGGGCACGAGCCAGGCAAGGCAGCCACGGCACAGCAAAGCCACAAAGGCTGCAGAAATCCTCCTGCAAGGGAGGGCAGGCCCTGGCACAGGTTCCCCATCCCTGCAGGTGCCCAAGGCCAGGCTGGATGGGCTTGGAGCAGCCTGGGGAAGTGGAAGGTGTTCCTGCCATGGCAGGGGTAGAACAAGATGGGCTTTAATGTCCCTTCCAACCCAAACCATTCTCCGATTTTATGATTGTGTTTTGGTGTTGCTCATCTGTGTGTCTGCTCATGGGGGTCTCTCAGCAATTTGGGGCTGATCCCAGCCAGCCAGAAGGCAATGGGGGTTGGGCAGGTGATGCACAATGTGCTGTCATGCCCACCCAGGATCAGGGACAGCACACACATTCCTGGCTGGCAGGGTGGGCAGGCCCTGGCACAGGGTGCCCAGAGCAGCTGTGGCTGCCCCTGGATCCCTGGCAGTGCCCAAGGCCAGGCTGGATGGAGCTTGGAGCAACGTGGGGGCCCTGCAAACCCCACAGCCAGACCAGCACTGCACAGCCAGGGCAGCACCCCTGCACAGCAAGGAGAATTTTCTCAGAACAAATAAATCAAACAAGACAAACCCAGCAGCAGAGAGGCACAGCCAGCCCAGCCCAGCCTCCCCAGGCAGCCAGGGACCAACCAAAGCCGTGCTGCTGAGCAACCCCAGCTCCTCTGAGAAATCCCAATGCCCCTGCACAGCCAGCTCCCTCTGAAGCCGTGACTGATTAGCACTAGAAAGAGCTGGGAGCCTGTGCCAAGGTACCTGCTGCTCCTGCTGTGTCCCTGCCATGCAGAGCGCTTGGCACAGCCGGGGCAGGCTCCTTCCATCTCCCTGCCCTTGATCTCCAGCACAAACCCCATCCCCAGAGCTCTGCCCCTGTCTGCAAACTCCCTCCAGCCAGAAGGCTGCACAGGGAATGTCTGCTGGGGGAGATGGAGGATCAGGGAATATCCTGACCCGCAGGGATCAGCTAGGGCAGCTCCTGTTCCTGCCCAGACCCCCAACAATCCCAGCCTGGCATCCCTGGCAGCCTCGGGGCTGTGCCCATTCCTGGGGAGCCTGGGCAGTGCCAGCCCCCTCTGGGAAAAGAACCTTTTCCTTATTTCCACCTAAACCTCCCCTGGCACAGCTCCAGCTGTTCCTTCATGTCCTGAGAAGCCAATCCTGCAGTGCCATCAGAACAGGGCAGCCTCGGCCAAGCCCCCGGGGCCCCAGGGGAGCAGCAGCACTGCGGGCACAGGGGAGGATGTTTGGATGTTTTGCAAGAGGTCACTGAAGGGAGCTGGGAGTGCCAGCCCAGCCAGGCTGTCCTTGCTGCAGGCTGTGAATGCAGCGGTGCAGGTGAAACCTGAGCTCCCCATCCCTGCCCAAGGACAGCTCCAAGGACAGGCTCTGCACAGGGCATGGAGGTGCCCAACTTCACAGAAGCCCAGGAGGATTTGGGCTGGAAAGGACCTCAAAATTCATCTCATCCCACTCCCTACCATGGCAGGGACACCTTCCACCATCCCAGAGTGCTCCAAGCCCTCTCCAGCCTGGCCTTGGACACTTCCAGGGACAGGGGCTGGCTTCCAGGGCCCATCCCCATCCCTGCACATCAGCCAGGCCCACGAGCACTGTCCCCAAGCCACCTCTGCTTTGCTGCTGATTAAAGGGCACAAGGAGGGCAGACAGACAGACAGGCACAGGCACACCCATCCCCTCACTCCTGCCATCAAGGATGAGGGACAGAGCCTTCCTGAGGAGCCCAGGAGCCGCTGGGAGCATCACCTCTGCACACAATGTGTGAGGAAAACACCTGCACAGGGGTTTGGCTGTGCCACGAGTCAGGGCAGGATTTACACCCCACACCAGACCCCACCCATCCCCAAACCACCACAGCACCTCCAGCCCCTCTCTGGATGGAAACTCAGCTCCAGCCCCTGCCCAGGACAGAGGGCTGGAACGAGGTGATCTTTAAGGTCCCCTTCTGACCCAAACCATGCCACGATTTTCTGATCCCAGAGCACCCATTCATCCCTGGAGCAGAGCCCCAGCACAAAGACAAGCACGTGGCCCCACCGAGTTGCCCCCGAGCAAACAAAACCTTCCCCCGCTGCCCCCCTCCCCGGAGCCCTCCCATAAATCCCAGCCCCTGGAAGTGCAGGCAGACAAAAGCTGGGACCATCTGCAGCAGGAGGGGCAGGTGCAACAAGTCTGTGCTCAGGGAGCTCTGTGTCTGCTGCTATTCTCCCCTAGGAAAGCCCGAGGATCCCAGGGTCAGGAAATTGAAATCTGGCTCATGCTTAAACCTGGCCCACTGCTGCTGCTGCTAAGGAGCAGGGACAGGAGACAGAGATTGTCCTGAGGCTCTGTGGCAGGCTGGAAGGGAGAACCATCCCCAGGGACAAAGGGGGAATGAAATCAAATGGGATGCCTCGTGCCCTGCAGGGTTGGGATGGGGTGAGTGTGAGCCTGCACTCTGGATGCTTTAACAGGGGTTTGGTGCCCTGACCAGCTGTGACAGCCACATCTGTCCTTTTCTCTCTATGCCACCGTCCCACGAGTGGCAAAGCCAGGTGACAGGACAAGGGGAAATGGCTTTAAGCTGAAGGAAAATAGATTTAAATTCAATATTGGGAAGGAATTTCTGGCTGGGAGGGCGGGCAGGCCCTGGCACAGGGTGCCCAGAGCAGCTGTGGCTGTTCCTGAATCCCTGGAAGTGTCCAAGGTCAGGCTGAACAGAGCTTGGAGGAGCCTAGGCTAGTGGAAGGTGTCCCTGCCATGGCAGGGGTGGCACTGGATGGGCTTTAAGGTCCTTCCAACCCAAACCATCCTGGGATTCTTTGATAACAGCATCCAAGTGCTGGGCGCCCAAGATGACACAGCAGCACAGAGTCTCTGGTGCTCCAGAAAATGCCACACAGCAACTCTAAAGGTCAACAACCTCCACCTGAATCCATCCCAGCTCCACTCACTATCAGCAGAAGAGCCATGGCCCCAGGGCAGGCAAGGAAGAGGAGGGAAAAGGAAAAATCCCTTTGTTTGTTAGAGGAATTTTGTTTGTGAAATTATTTTGTTTGATTGGAAATTGGAGTTGGGATGGCTGCCTGTCTGTTGAAAGCCCTGGCTGCCCTGCTCCACATTTTTCTGATTTTAATGAGCAGTGATGGGATTTCAGGGTGATTTCCAGGGAAGGATCTCGTGCACTCTGAGCACGGCGTGCAGACCTAACGCAGAGCACAAGGACATCCCCCCAAGGGCAAGCAGCTTCTGCTCACTGCCCTGGGATTTAACCCCATAAAGGTAAAACCACCCCTGAAAAATGGCTTTGGGGAGCCACCAACACCAGGTAATGTGGACAAAGGCAGCTCAGACAGCGTGGGACAATATTCTCCACCTTAGAGAAACATCCGTGACTGCACGCGGCCCGGCCAGTCTAACTACAGCTTAAGCCAGCTTAAATCACAGGCTCAAGCCCTGGATTTAGGTCTTTGTCCCATCCCAAGTGGCTCAGAGTTTGTCTAAGCAGCCAGTGAGCTGGTTTGGGGAGGTGACCCAGGGCTGGGGGCAGCCTGGACCTGGCCCTTGCTCTGGGCATGGGAAAGCACAGCAGTGCACAAGGCTCAGCCTGAAGTGGTGGCTCCTGAGCTTCAGACCACCTGCAGTCAGGGCAGACAGAGCAGTTCCCTCCCCTGTTATCACCAATTTTACTCTTGGAAGTTGCCCTGTGCCCACCCTGCTGAACAGACCAGACCCCACGAGTCCTGCAGCGCCAGAGCCTCAGGAATGTTGGATATACACAAATCACACACACCAGGCTCCTCCCAAGACCATTCCATGCATGCAGGTACTGCCCCCTCCATCCCCCCAGCTCCTTACCCTGCCTAGGAGGTTTCCTTGGAGGAGGGTCTGCTGCAGTGCTGGGGCCACCTCCTCCAGGTGCAGCATGTGGCAGAGGTCAGTGAGCTCCTCCTGCCCCAGGGAGCCCGTGCCTGTGCTGTCAAAGCTGTCAAAGAGCTCCTTGAGGCGAGCTTCATACTGGTCCTGCTCAGCTTCATCCATCCCATAGCCTGCCACGCTCACCTGCGGGAAGAGACAGGCCAGGTCACCGTGGGTGACAAGGGACAGCAGAAAACCCCCCAGGGCTGGCACAGCAGCTGCCCACCAGGCTGTCTGGGGCTGTGTTTGGTTGCATTAATGCTCCACCACTGCTCCAGCCCACTGGGGGAAGAAGTCACAGAGCAGAAAAACCCCAGGGGAAAAAGCCTGCAGAGCCAAACCCTGGGGAGGGGACAGCCCAGGTGGCTGGGCCAGCCCCGTGTGCCACCTCACGCTGCTCCTGTCAGCTCGTTTGGCTCAGCTGCAGCAGCTAAATTGTTCCCTTGAGCTCCAGTGATCCCCAGGTGTTGCAGGTGAGGCTTTGGTGAGAAGATAAACAAGCCAAGACCAGCTCAGCAGCTGCAGGGAGCGGAGTGTGGGGCTGTGCCTGAGGAGGGGAGGGCAGCAGACCCCAGCCCAAACCCTTCAAGGCAGCCAGCCACCGTGGCCACCCCCTCCACGGGCACAACACACCCTCCTGCACCACAGCTGGGATCATGGGATGCTTTAGCTCGGGGAAAAAACTCCAAAATCAAGCCCAGCTGCTGAGCACTCCTCCCTGTGCTGCTCTCCCTCAGGTGTTTCAGGTGAAACCCTGGCTGAAGGCAGAGAAGGGTTGGACAGGCAGCAAACCCAGAGCAGCGTGGAGACAGCCAAAACATACCTGGTGTCCTGCACCAGGCACACAAAACCCAGACCCAATTTGCCTCAGGTCTTCATCTTCCCCTCCAAGGCAAGTTTTCACCCCTCTCATCCATTGCTAACAGGATCACAGCCCCAGGAGCTGTTCTGGCAGGGGGGTAGAGGGAAATTTCCTGTCTGAAATGAAGGATTTGGCTGGAGCTGTTTGTTCAGCCTGGCCCAGGGCTCCTGGCTGGCTCTGGGTGGCAGCAGTGTCACCCAGTGCCACCACACAGCCTGGGTGTGGATGTGCCACTGCCCTGGGGCACAACGGGCACTGTCACCACGCTTGGGTGACAGTGGACACTGCAGCTGGTGTCCCAAGGACCCAACTGGGCATCCCAGGATGCTTGGCCAGCCTCATCCATGACCCCACACCAGCCAGCCATGGGAATTCTGGTTTTGTGACTGCTGCAGCTTGTGCCAGACACATTTCCCAAAACAGGGGGTCCAACCCCGACCCCCTCCCCATCCAGCCCTGTCCCCTCTGCTCCTCACAGGGTTCTTGTGGCTCCCTGGGCCACCAGCAGCACTCCTGGACATCCCAGAGCTGCTCCAGTTGCAGCCCAGTTCCACGCCCCTGCCCAGCCCAGCCAGGAAATCTCCAGGGCAGGCACTGCAGCAGCTGTGTCCTTGATTTCCCTGGCTGCAGGAGCAGATGCCAGGGCAGAGCATCCCCTGGATCCCACATCTGCTGAGGGATGCAGGGCTGGTGGAGGCACAGCCCAGCCAGGCTGCCCTTCCTCCTGCCCTGCCCCAGACAGGGATGGCTGTGGACACTCCAGGGATGGACACAACCCTTCCACCTGAGCCTCACACCCTCCCTGTCCTATTTTTTTCTCCCCAAATCCCTCTTGAGCTGATTTCTCACGGCGCCCAAGCACTGGGGGGAGGAGGGAGGGCACAGACACATTCGACCTGGGGCACAGAGGAGGAGGCAGCACCCAAAACCTCAGGTGCAGGTTTTTTAATGAGCAGGAGGAAGGCAACAAACTTGTTTCCATTCCCACACCACCAACCCTGTTTCCCACCTGCACCCACAGGGCTTGACAGTGCTGGATCCTGGTGTCAGGGAGCCCTGCCTGCACATTCCAGAGGCCCCAAAACTCACAGCCAAGCCTCCAGCAAAGATGACTCCACCCCACAGAGCTTCCCAAGCATTTCTGAACCCCTTATCTTCAGGGTCAGCCACCTCCTGCCCCCCCAGAGATGTCTCCAGCACCTGACCCTACTGCTGCACTGCCAGAACCAGTTCCCCCAGTTAGTGGGGAGAGCTAAATGCCACCTCCCAGGACATCCCCGAGCATCCCTGCTGCCGCAGCACCGGCATCACCCCTCTCAGTGCCACAACAGCACAGAGCCCAAAAACTCACCCTGGGCAAATCCAGCATTGGGAACCCCACAAAACCAGCAGGAAAACCCCAATCCCTAAAGGAAAAGAGCATCAGGTGCGTGGGCCACACCTGCCCTCCAGCCCAGGTGAGTTTTTGGCAAGAACAGCCTCACACATCCCCGCGCCGGGCGACAGCCAGACCTTAGAGGGACACAACCATCCCTGCAGAGGCTGGGGAAGGGATTCCCCGTTCCCCAGCCCCAGGAGGCAGCGGGGAGGCCGAGGCTGGGTGCCTACCTGCGGTCAGAGGCACGGGGAGCTGCCGGCAGCCCAGATCCCGCAATCCTGCACAACCTCCATCTTAGGCAGGCGGCTCCCGCACGCAGCCGGCTGCGCAAGGTGACCCAAGATGCCTCCTCCTGCCTGAATTATTCAGCAGCGAGAGGGAAAAAAAAACCAAAAAACAAACCACCCAAGCCTCCTTCCTACCTGAGGAGCTGGCCAGGCCGCCTGGCATCAGCCGGCAGTCACAATAATGAGGTCAGCAGCATCAGAGCCACCTCCAGCAGCCGTGACGGGGAAGGGGGGACCCAGCAGAGGCACACAAAGCCCCAGTGAAAGGGCAGCCTTTCATCTCTGCTCCAGATGGGCCAGCAGCTGAGATGCAGGAGGGCAGCCAGGATAATAGCTGAGTGGGGGCTGCCCAGACCCCCGCCAGGAGGAGAGGGGATGGTCCCTGCACAGGGCATCACTTTGTTCAGATTTATTGCTGCCCTTCTGTGCTGTTTCAAGCCCCCCAGAATGACCAGCTTGAGCAGACAGCGGTGAAAAGTGCAGGTTTAGGAGAGTCAGCACCGCCTTATTCCTTATTTCTGTTCTCATTATTACCAGCCCGGGGAAGCAAAAGCGCTCCGGGATGATGAGAAGAGGAAGTTTTCAGCGGCATTTCTTTCCTGCTTTTAAATCCACCCCCTCCTGAGAGCCAGATAACCTTCACGGCACACAATGTAGGGGCCTGATAGGACTAAATTCTCAGCTAAATTTAACTCAAACAATATAGGCTTAAACAGTAATTACTGCTCCCCATCTTTAAGTGCCTGGAATCAATACCAACTTTAGCCTGGAGCTAATGAGGACACAGATTGGTCAATCAATGGCATCAGCAAGGAAAATCACCACAATTAGCACAATTACTTTTTTTTGGGGGGGTGGGGAGGTATTTGTAAACAGTATGAATTACAGAATCCCAGAATTACTTGTGTTGGAAGGGGTCTTAAAGGCCACCTCATGCCAACCCCCAGCCACGGGCAGGGACAGCTTCCACTAGGACTATACAAAATTACTTTTGCTGTTGCACAGGAGGGAGATTTTGGGGATGCTCTGCCCAGATGCCCCCAAGGGCTGCATCACTCACCAGGACCATGGGTACCTTGCCCTTATCCCAGCCTGCCCACCACTGAAGTCATCACCTCCAAGGGACAGCGAGGAAAATGTTTTTACTGCTCCTCTTGATTGCCTCCACTCAAATGAGGGCCTGATAATTAGCAGTAATTAGCCAGCAGGGCAGCATCCTGTGGCCACCTCCAAAACACAAGCACCTATTCAATGGGTTGTCACTGCTCCGAGTGTCCCTCCTGTGCTGGAGAGCACAGCCACACTTGGGCACTTTAAAGCAACTTTCCCTTCCCACTGCACTTGTGACAACCTGGGTGATGTGAACACAGCTGGCAAAACCCACCAGGAGCCCAGGTTTTAATAAAAAAAAAAAATGCTGGGGGTTGTATGAGATGCCCAGCAGCCACCAAAACCAGACTGTGGAGCCCTTGCTGGAAAGCCAGAGCTGAGGTTGTCTCACACTCATTATCTCATTCCCTAATGAACCATCTCATCCATCACAGCAGCTCTGCTGAATCATAGAATTCCCTGAGCTGGAAGGGACACACAGGGATCATCCAGTGCAACTCCAGGCCCTGCACAGACCCCCAACAATCCCACCCTGGGCATCCCTGGAGTGGTATCCGAGCTCCTGGAGCTCTGTCACCATTCCCTGGGGAGCCTGGGCAGTGCCAGCACCCTCTGGGGGAAGAACCTTTCCTGAAAGGTCCAACCCAAACCTGACACAGCTCCAGCCATTCCCTGGGTCCTGTCTCTGGTCACCAGAGAGAAGAGCTCGGTGCCCTGTCCCTGTGTCCACCCCAAAAATCCCCACACAGAGACAATTCCAGCTCAGCCCACACTGCAACACCCCGTCCCCTCTTGGAGCAACAACCCCACAAAGGGTCACACCGAGAAACCAAAGGGGAAGGGGAAAAACAAAACCCAGAAGGACAATGAAGCACCTTAATGTCAGTAAATCATTTGACAGCACGCCCAGCTCCCCAAGGGTCACCACCAGAGTCAGCCTTACAGCTGGCAGTTCCTCCTCCCCGCTGACCACGTTCATCATTTTCCCTCTGCACCTCAATGCACCCCAAAAACACCCCCAGACCCTCCAAAGTTGGCAGAGAGCAGCGACTCTGTTAACCAAGCTCCACTCCAGATTAGCAAAGCAGCGATGGCGTATAAAAGCACTATAAATTTATGTAAAGAGCTTCAAAAGCAGCCACAGCGGTTTGAATATTCACGCCAGCCCGGTATTTGCATTGTAATAGGGCTTTTCACTCCCAGCCTTCCCTCCGTAAGGAAAAACAAAGCGCCCATCTGGTTTGATTTTGCAAATCGGGCTGGAGTCGCTCTGCAGTGACTCGGGGAGCCCCGGGTGCGATAAAGCCCAAGGTGGAGGCACAAAGCTGATTATTTCAGGAGTAAACAAAGCGAGCCGGTAATTCATCCAGCGCCGGGAAATGCGGGATTCGGGAATTCCCGGAGCCGCTCCGATGAAGCCGGGCTCTGCTGAATCACGGCGACATCGCGCCCTGAGCCTCCGCTCCCTTTTGGGGAGCACACGAGGAGGATGAGCAGGATACACCCAAACTGTCACCCACGCACCCAGTAAAACGCCAGCACTGGATGCGCCCAGGCTGTGGATTTTGGCGTTCCTCGGCTCCATCCCTACAGGGATGCTCCAAGGGAGACGGGCCCACGGTCGGGGACCAGACAGCAGATGCTGTCTGCCACCCTGGTGACAACGAGAGCTTCGCCGATGACAAAACAACTGCTGTTATTAATTCCTCCAGCCGCAGCCGGCTGCTTCCCGAGCTCAGCCCGGCCAGAGCGGTCCAGAACCCGCTCCCAGCGCTCGGAGCATCTCTCCGGGAGCAGGGATGGGGTGCCCTTGGCAGGAGGGCGAGCGACACCCGGTACCTGTCACCCCTTGGGACCACTGCCACCAGCGCCGAGGGGCCCTTGGTGGCTTTGGGGTGGCACCCACTCACAGACACCCCTGAAACCACCACCGCGCCCTGCGGCTACGCGTCCCCATCCCCATCACCCCCTTCCTCCAGCACACCCCCCACTTCCAGCATCCCATCCCTCCAGCATTCCCCCTTTCCCTCCAGCACCTCCCCACCCTCCATCTCCCCTTCCTCCCCAGGCACCCACCTCGCCGCTGCGCCCCTTCCCCGCCGGCCCGTCCCGGCGCCCCGCACACGCGGCCGGTCCCGCCGGGAAGGGACGGGAAGGGGCGGGCTGGGCCCCGGCACCGCCCGCGGAGGAGGGACCGGGGCGGACAGCGCTCCCCCCGCACCCGGGGCTCGGTGGTGCCCCTTCCCGCCCCTCTCCCCGCTCCCCGTTCCCGTCCCGGCCTCACCGCTGCCGGTGCCGCGGGCGCGGCGGCGCTGGCGGAGCGCTCGGAGCGTTGCGGGCCCGGGGGAGGCGCCGCGTTCAAATGCGGCCGCGTTTATTGGGCCGAGGCTCGGGGGCGGCCCCGGGGGTGCGGGACGGCCCCGGGGCGGGGGGACCGGCGGCCTTTGTGCGGCACCGCCCGGGAACGCCCCCCCGCACAAGGGGCGGCTGCGGGGGTCTGCTGGGGCGGCCCGCAGCTCTGGGGCACCAGCGTGTCACCGCTGTTCTGTACCAGTGTGGCATCACCACAGCTTCCTGCTGTCGTGTCCCCCAGGGTGGCATCGCGTCAGCTTGCGGTTGTCCTGCACCTCAGGATAGTATAGCCCTCGGCCCCCGATGTCCTGGTCCCCCGGGTGGCATCACCTCGGTTCCCATCATCCTGCACCCCAGGGGACATCATCCCATCTCCCTGCTGTTCTGCACCCCCGGGTGGCATCAGCCCAGCTCTCCACTGTCCTGTCCCCCAGGGTGGCACCACCGTGGTCCCCACTGTCCCACACCTCAGAGTGGCTCTTCAATGTCCCATCTCCCCAAATGGCATCATCACAGTTCCTGTCATCGCACTCCCCAAGGTGGTATCACCCCAGCTCCCAACTATCCTGTCCCCCAGGGTGACATCACCTGAGTTCCCATCATTCTGCACCCCACGGGGACATCACCCTGGCTCCTGCTGCCCTGCACTCCAGAGCAGCATCACCCCTGCTCCATCCTGTCCCCCAGATGGCATCACCCATCTGCCTGCTGTCCTGCACCCCAGGGTGGCACCACCCCAGCTCCCCAGTGTCCTGTCCCCCACGGTGACATCACCCTGGTTCTCATCCTCCCACAAGCCAAGTGGACACCACTGGGTCCTTGCTGTCCTGTCCCCCAGGGTGGCATCACCCCGGCTCCACGCTGTCCTGCCCCCCAGGAGACACGGCCCTGCAGCTCCTCATTGTCCCAAAATAACAATGGCACGTCACCTGGACTGTCCCACACCTGAAGGTCACAGCAACACATCGCTGTCCCCCACCCTGGGGACGTGGCACCCTGGCTCCCTGCCATTCCAGGGTACCATGCCACCCCACTGTCCCCCACCCAGGGGACATGACACCCCAGCTCCCTGCCATCCCTGGTCCTGGGGGACAACATCCCGACTCTCCTCGTGTCACCGTGACACAGGACGGCTGCTGTGCTGTGACACCCACCCCTTCCACCAGCGGTGGCTCTGCACTGTCCCACCCGCGCCCCTCACTCACTTTGGGGGGGTCACAAAGCCAAGGACCCCTTTTTGCCCCAGCAGCCAGCCGGCAGGGCAGCCCTGGGGCGGTGACACGGCAGCCACAGGCTCCAGCAGAACTCCAGGCTCTTTTAGAGCTCGGCAGTCCCGGCTGGAAGCCGGAGCCGCCGCCCGCCCCCGCTCCCGCTCAGCGCCAGCCGAGCCGCAGGAAGCCGGCGGTCCCCAAGGCTTGTGGATCCTCTCATGGCTAATAAGGGCTTCCACCCACGCTGCAATCCGCTTTCCAGCAATGGCAGGAGATTATTTTTGCTGTTTTTTTTTTTTTTATGAAAATGCCAAGGGCGACATGACTTTTTAGCCTTCTTCCCTTTTTCAAGGCGGCTCTGGTCTGCGGGTTCAGAAATTTCGTGGTGAGGAGCGAGGGAAACACAAAAGCCTCGCACAGGGGGTTGGATAAACCTCGCTCAGATCATAAACCAGGCTTAAAGCCCCATAGCAGAGCCACGGGTGGGTTTGCTACAACACCAGGACATCTGGGACATGTGAGGTGACAGCGTAAAGAGCTCCAAAAGTATTGTAATAGAATATTGTAATAAAATATTTAAGGGTAGCTCTGCTGCACGTCACCTGGCACCTCACTGCCACCTGCCCCGGGGCAGCGCTGCGGCTGTGGGACGTGGCACAGTGTCCCCAACACCCAGCACAGCCCTGTCCAGGGATGTGGCCGTGTCCCCGCGGTGACAGCAGCAAGGCAAGGTGACTCCAGAGGGAAGGGGCCCATTGGCGAGAGGCTTTGCCGGACAGATGTCAGCAGCCGTGGCATTGTGCCGGCCAAGGGCTTTTTGTCTGCGTTTTTTAACATTTGCCATTTTTCTCCGCCGCTTTCTTCTGCTCTGACACTCGCTGAGGGTTTTTCTTTCTTTCCTTTCTCCCTCTCTTTCCACATTTGCTTTTCCATCCCCGCTTCAAACACTTTTTCTCCGCGTATTATGCTGAAGTTGGAACCATCTGGTGCTTTTGTCTTGTTGCGAGCCCGGCGAGTGCCAGGACCTTTATCCCCCTCACCCTCCTCCTCCTGCCTCTCTAATCCAAGTGACAGCCCCGAAAAGTCCCCCCTGTCCCCCAACAAAGCCACGGGCCACACGCGTGCATGGGCAGGCGACGGGGACAGGCAGCACGCTCGCTGTCCCCATGTCCCAGTCCCACAGGGACGTGCCTCAGGAGCGCTGCAAACCATCCCAGTGCAAATTCCTGACTCATTTTTAGGACCAGCTGTTAGCAGGGGCATCCTGATTTTATTTTTCCCATAGGAGAAAAGCGCATTTCTAGGGAGCCGCGGAGCCGGGCCAGACACAGAACCCTCCCACCTATTTTTGGAGTCCCCCTTCCCAGCGAGCAGCTGCGCTCCAGGATGGCATTTACAGCCAGATAGGAAGGAAACCTCATCTCAAGCAACCCACGGCGTCACAAAAATCGGGACATCTGGGAAACACCGGGATTGCAGGACATCAGCCGCCGGTGGATCCGCGGCTGGCACGGAGCCACCCAAAATCGGGGGCAGCGGGTGGGTGACCCCTGTGCGAGGCCGTGGGTGCCCGGCTCCTGCAGGAACACCCTCCCGGCTTGGCTCGGGCTGCTCCGTCACGCTTTCCTTCCCATTTTCCCCGAACAATGGGGTGCTTTGTTCTAGGGCGAGGAAAAGTCCGGCTGCCGCGCGGGGAGCTGGGGGGCAGCTGGGAGCTGCTCCTGCATTCCTGGGGTCTTTCCAGCTGTGCCTTGCTGGGCACAGGAACCCCTTACCCCGGCCAGGACAGGGGGAAGAGGGTCATCAAATAGCCAAAGAACCAAAAAGACAAAAAAAAAACAAAAAAAAAAAAAAAAAAAAAAAAAAAAAAAAACCAACAAAAACCATGAAACCATCAGCAAAACATAAAGGGGAAAAGATGCTGTAGGAAAAAAAACCCAAACAAACAAACAAAAAAAAAACCACCAAAAACCAACCAACAGCTGGAGGGAACCTCCCCATCTCCCAGCTGGTGCCGGGAGAAGTTTGGAATGACATAAGCCCAAACTTTGCTATTTTTTGCACAAAACAAAGGCGAGCCCTGCTCAGCCGCAGTGGTACCGCCGCTCCCCGGCTCGCTGCTGCCATCCCACGTCCGGCTCCCAGCGCACAATCCCCTTCCAGAGCCGCCTCCCGGGCCTCATCCTGCCTCATTCCACCCGAGCATTTTCCCTTCAGCCCAGGAAAACCTCGTGTTTGCCGCGTTTGCTGGGCTGGATCGTTATGGCAAGAAATATTTGCTCCATGCTGGTGAGCATTCCCGAGCTCCGTGCCAGCCCATTCCAGCCCTCTGGAGCTCCAGAGCTCTCTGGCACCTTGCCCAGTCCTGGGGGCATCGCTGGAGTTTTTGGGGATCACCTTTCCCATGGGAATTCACTGCCGAGCTGCAGCCCCAGCACTCGCTGGGAATGGGGAAAAATTGGGGATGGAAGGAAAAGCTCTGGCTTGGGAAACCAGCTGGGCATGGGGGAAATTGGGGGGGGAAGGAAAAGCTCTGGCTTGGGAAACCAGCTGGGCATGGGGGAAATTGGGGGGGGAAGGAAAAGCTCTGGCTTGGGAAACCAGCTGGGCATGGGGGAAATTGGGGGGGGAAGGAAAAGCTCTGGCTTGGGAAACCAGCTGGGCATGGGGGAAATTGGGGGGGGAAGGAAAAGCTCTGGCTGTGAAAGCAGCTGGGAATGGGGAAAAATTGGGGGTGAAAGCTCTGGCTTGTGAAACCAGCTGGGAATGGGAGAAAATTGGAGGTGGAAGGAAAAGCTCTGGCTTGTGAAACCAGCTGGGAATGGGGGAAATTGGGGGTGGAAGGAAAAGCTCTGGCTTGTGAAACCAGCTGGGAATGGGGGAAGATTTGGGGTGAAAGGAAAAGCTCTGGCTGTGAAAGCAGCTGGGAATGGGGGAAAATTGGGGGTGGAAGGAAAAGCTCTGGCTTGTGAAACCAGCTGGGAATGGGGAAAAATTGGGGATGGAAGGAAAAGCTCTGGCTGTGAAAGCAGCTGGCTCTGTTGGTCATTTCCCCCGTTCTCCTGCCCCTGAGGCATGGGAAGAGCAGCTCGGGGCTGCCTTGTGCCACCTTATTGCAGCAGCTGCTGGTGGGGAACACGCAGTGCCTGCCCACAGCCCCGGCTTGGCTGGACCTGTTTGTCTGTGGATTTGCATTTTGCTGCTGAGGCAGGGTTAGATTAGATATTGGGAAAGAATTGTTCCCTGTCAGGGTGGGGAGGCCCTGGCACAGGGTGTCCTGGGTCCCTGGAAGTGTCCAAGGCCAGGCTGGACAGGGCTTGGAGTGCCCTGGGACAGTGGAAGGTGTCCCTGCCCATGGCAGGGGGTGGGATGGGATGATCTTCAAGGCCCCTTTAACCCAAACCATTGTGGGATTCCATGATTCCAACTCAGGAAAAGCAGCACAGGTCTTAACTTTGGATAAAAGCAGCTCCAAATGCCAGCCTGGGTGGCTGCTCCTCTGGGAAAAGGTTTGTCCCCAGCCCTGCCACAGTTGATTTATGGGGTCCCTGGCCCCACTGACAGGTGAGGTGCTGAAGGGCTGGCCCAGCTGCGGGTGCCTTCCAGCAGCACATCCTCCTGCACCTGGCAGGCTTGCACAGGGAATCCTGCTGACACAGGGGTATCTCTGTCCTGGTGGGAAGATCTATCCTGAAAAGGCCCAGCTGACTCACCCTGACAGAGCTGCAGGTGGGAGGCTCAGCTGGGAGGGCAGGCAGCAGCAGGTTCCCACTCTTCCTGCTGAAT